AAAAAAAGAGACTCTAACAAGCTAACTTCTAACAAGCCTCTTCCGGAAGTCTTTCCATGTTTATGTCTCAGAGAAAGAGAATAAACGTTATGACTTAAATTGACTAAAATTGAGAGAAAGAGGAGAAATAGTGAGACAGAAGGAAGAAAATATAAAGAATAACACAACCAGTTAGTTTTGAAATCACGTCAGTTGCTTGAAGTTTGCTACTCAATCGAGGGCTGCATGAAAGTCTTCTTGAGTTTGGATTGGAGACAAACCTACTGAGAGCCGTTTAAAGATCATGATGACTGTTTGTGATCTTCTGCTAATCATCACGTAAAGATCACAGCAGCCTGTAATTATTATCATGATTATAAACTAAGCATCTGCAACAACATGATAATGATTCTGTTTGTAGCTTCTGCGTCTGGTGTCAGGTAACAGGTGATTCTCTCGTGCGACTGTGTGTATTAGGTTCCTCTCATAGTGTGTGCATTGTGTTTGACCTCAAGGACAAACAGGGGTCAGAGTGGGACACTAGAGGTGTACAGTGTCACATAGTGAAAGATATAGCTCACAAACATGGGTTTAATAAGGAATTAAGTGTTTTAAATGATGCATGTTATTTTGGGAAAGTGCAGGGTTTTCTTTTCAAATGTGAAGATTTATTTTATTCTTATTTCTTTGTGTTTAGACAATTTTTGAGAAAAAAGTCATTCCCTCTTATGGTGACCAATTTCTCTAAAGTGCCTTTAATGGCTAATGTTGAGCTCATACAGTAGGTGCAGACAAACATGCTATTAACACAATGATGTATTATGCAGGGTTCTTACGGTCATTAAAAACCTGGAAAAGTAATTGAAATTCAAAATGCTAATTCCAGGCCCTGGAAAAGTTATGGAAAACAATATTTTTCCCAAAGTTTTGGAAAAGTCATGGAAATGTAACTAAAGTTGCATCAAATATAATTTATATTTTATCTAATCGCCGAAATAGTAATACTATAATGATAATAAATCGTATCGTATAGTCATGAAACGTAAAATGGCATTTAACTGACGAGGTATTTTGCTGGTGAGAGATTTTAGTTGCTTTAGCCTGTAGAAGCTAAGCCTACTAGTTCATTTGTTTTAGATAGGCACAACCTGTTCCATGTTAAAATAAACAATTTTCAGTGGTACCGCTGAGAAAGAGTAATTTTTTTGGTCATGGAAAATTAGGTAAAGGTCATGGAAAAGTCATTGAAAAGTCATTGAAAATCATTGGTGAAAAAGTGTATGAACCCTGATTATGTTTGGTTTTATATCATCAGACCACATTTTGCTGCTGCCTTCCATGAGCACGAATGAGGTGTACACTGTGGTTACCGTAGACTCGTGCAAGGACTACCTTCGAATCGGAATAGAAGCAAGAGAGAGATGGAGGGAGAGAGTGTGGGAGGGACGTAGAGTAAATACAGAAAAGAGCGTGGGAGGTAGAAAGAGGAGAGGTGGGAGGAAGAGGAGGAGAGCATTGAAGGACAGTACAGGGGTCAAACTGTGCAGAAGAGAGACTGCTGGTGTCCATGATTCACAGAAAGAGTCGCAGGCTAAATGAATCAGCTTACTGTAGCTGTATGTTGTAATTCTCCTTTAATCTGGCTGATTTCTTCTTGTTTGTCTACTTTTTCCTCCTTAGTTTCTTGATATTCTTCACCACTAAAAGTGATTGAATAATTATTTTTAGCATTACCCCAGATAGCTACAGCATGAATACAAGGTACATTAATTGCAAACGCTGCACTATTTTTAAAAGTAGAAAACAGAAAAGTCTTAAAGAGTTGTTTTCCTGGAACTCAGGTTGCCTAAAGAATTATAAGTAATGGTTGTAATAATGATCTTCCTGTTCTAAACATTGCCTACAATAAAGCCACCTTTTCAAAGTTCCTCCTGAGTGTGGGAGGGTTTGGTATTGTTCCCCCGCTCCATTGTGCTTCATGCTTCCTGCAGAGAATAGCTTTACATTTCAACTCACGAATGCTCTTTGTAGATACAGAAAACTAAATATATATCTTAAGGTCACTAATAAGTTACCAAAAGGTCCTGTGGGAAAAAGAGAGATATAGCAGCGTGTTGCTATTTTATTTTGAACCTCTCAATGGGTCATTGTTCCTGCTAATGTCATCATCTTTAACTCATTCGGGTTACTCTCAGGATGCAACGGCTGCAGGCTTCATTGTTTAAAGAGGTCCATAATTCCTGGAAATGTTGAAGAGATGTTGAAGCAAAAATGTTTGCTCCAAAGAATGAATTTGTCTGGAAACTTGACTCTCATTGGTTAGAGGTGGAAAGTTTCCATTTTAATTTTGGGGTTATCAATTATTGGTTAAAAGTTATTGAGGAATAGTTCTGAAAAACATTTAATCTTTCACGCATTTCTAATGTGTTGGTTCATTAGCAGCTTTGACGATTGATGTCACATATTAAATGTTGTGGTAGTTTTTATTCTAAAAATAAAACTAAGTATATTTACTCAAGTACTGGGTATTTTTAGCTCAAACATTTCTACTGGATTAATTTGAAACTCTGCTCTTCCTCCTTTAGACATTACCCCAAGACGTCGTTCACCATCGTGGCCGACACACCGGAGAACCTGAGACTCAAACAGCAGAGTGAACTACAGAGCCAGGTACACGCACGCACGCACGCACGCACGCACGCACACACACAAAATTGGGTGTTTTGGTAAAAGCAAAATGTGAAATTGCGACGGGAACAAACTTGGTGAATAAATGATGACGTACATGAAGCCTGACTGCACACAAAGTGTAATTTTAAGATGTCCTCTTAGCCAAAACAGTCACCAAGCCAAACGGGAAGTTTCTAAAGGATATAAATGAAGGCTGATGGTAAATATTTGTTGTCATTTGTTTGATAGCAATTATGTGAAATAAAACGACGAAGCTGTTTTAGATCGCATCAGGAGAGCTACTTTTGATATTCCACGTGCAGATTTACGTGCACTTTATTTCTACTCGTCTCTGAGAGATAGATTTATGTTATAACCCCCCTCCTCCCCCTCCTTCTCTTCTTCAACTATCCGATCCATGTGTCTGATGTCCCCAGAGGAGATGTTTGAATCACTTCATATTAGCGCTGGAGCATTAAAGTCGAGCTTCAGGAAGTGATTGTAACAGACAAAGAGGCGTGCAGTGTGAGTGTACACACTGACCCAGTTGAGTTATGGATGAGACATGGTCATGTGACCCGGCAGTGTGTGTGTGTCTCACAGCTGAAGCAGCTGGTGTCATCAAAACTCAAGTATGAGTCAAAATCCAGATTTTAATTGATTCAACTGGATGTATACATACGTATGTTCATTTTATTTTGGATAAAACATTATAAAACAAGAATTTGGCGCCCACCTGCAGTAATCCGGAGGGCCCCATAGGGGTCACATACCCCCTGCTGAAGACTCATGATTAAAAGTCTCTGCCATGCCTTTATAACAACAAGTTTAATTAATAATGTTCGTCCGCAACTTTTTCCACTTAGGCGAGACATGACGAGTGGTGTATTATGTATATTTATCTAAAATGTGACAATCTGCATCCTTATTACTTTTGCTGGATTTGGATGCTCATACTTTTAATTTTACTTTAAAATGCTGTACTTGGAACTGTATTTGTACACTGTGGTGTTACAGGTTGCCACTGATATTTGGTCTTTTTAATTTGATATATTGATACAAAAAACAATTTTAAAAGACTGGGTGTTTGATGCCATATTTCTGAAGTGTAAAATAGTGATCTAAACTCCAACAGAACTTGTAGTATCAAAGAAAATATTATTGTGAAATGGATTCTCTCTTGTCATTCACTCTACTTTAATATTTCGTCTGATAGGCTCAGAGTATATTGCTTTTGTTTACGTAAACTATAGGCCAGGGGAATAACTCTCACCAGTGTGATTTTGGTGAGATTATGACCATGCTGGCCAAAGTTACAGAGGGGATGCCACATCCTGCAGCCATAACTCCAGCTCTGCCAGATATAGAAAGTCCCATTTGATTAATTCACATACTGTACATTGTCATTGACTTATACTGAAATATTGAAATCGCAAATATATAAGGGGAATATTCCTTTAATATCCTTTTAATATATTTGTGTTTTCTTTCCTGCAGGTGAGGTATAAGAAGGACTTTGAGGAGAGTAAAGGTCGAGGGTTCAGCATCGTGTCCGACACTCCAGAGATGCAGAGACTCAGACGGACCCAGGAGCAGATCAGTAATGTATGTTCTCACACACACACACACGCGCATACACACACACACACACACAGACACACACACACACACACACACACACACACACACACACACACACACACACACACACACACACACACACACACACACACACACACACACACACACACACACACACATATACACTATGTTACTGTTTGTCCTGGTGTGTGTGTATGAAAGTAAGGGGTGCACTTTGGTCAGTGAGCACAATCACACACATACACAAAATATCGACAAGTGTTGAAGATATCAGCTGAGTGATGAGGAGCTTCTTATGGAACCAATGAATAAGTAAGTAAGTATTATTTTTCATTTTTAATGTGTTTTAAAGCCAGTCAATATGTCAGTTATTCAATTAGAAATGTAGTAACAAAAGAAATAAATGTTTTAATGTTGCATGTACATCAACAACATCCTGAGCACGACTTATATCTAACATATTTTAAATACCAGTGTATTATATACATGCATTATATATAATGGACATTCAGAGCTCCAAGAGACAAGTAGGCTGAAGATTAACCAACATTTAAATAATTAAATAATACTTTGCAAAGTGTCTTTAGAAAAGTCAATAATGAATGAGGTGGAGGATGAAGAATCCCATCATGTAAACAATTCATTATAAATTATATCGAAACAGCTCGGAGTGTAATATGTAACGTAGATATAAGTAAAATACTTATTTAATAGAAGCAAAAACATTTGGGAGTAGGGCTACACCATCAGCCATGTTTGTAAATGTGCTTTTAATTCAACTGTATATTAATTACATTTGAGTTTTATGGTAACAATACAGCTTTTAAACATAAAAGTTACAATTGTGTATGTTTAATTGTTGTATGTGTGTGAGGGTGTGTGTGTGCACAGATGCTTCTCCCATGTGTCCCAATGACCCAGTGACCCAGCAGATGATGCCAAGGTAGTGTGTGTTTATCTTTTTTTATAAAACAGATTTTCATCGTATGTTGATCATATAAAAACATGAAAGATGTTGGTGTAAAACCATGAAATGCACATTAAACATTCATTTATGTGCATTAAAAAAACATTACAATGCACTATTCTGGTGTGCTCTCTTAGAGAAGATGTTATTAATATTTTAATCTTAAATGTACTATATACTTGTAGGTCACTTTATGTGAGACACAGATTCAAAGATGGGATAAATAAAGTATTCTATTCTAGTTTATTTGTTATATTCTTGTTTTTATTTTATATACTTAAAACATTTTAATGTATCTCTACTATGTAATGTGTCTTCCCCTGTGCTGCAGTAACACATACATTTGTCCTTAGGGGCTCCAAAAACATTTATTTTATCTTAAAGTAGACAATAAATCCCCTTTTAAAATGTGTCAAGTTACCTTTTTCACACATCACATTTGGGCTTTGATTTTATTCTCCTGCCTGTTATCCTTCCCTTTGTTGTTCTGTCCTCTCCTCTGTGCTCTCTGTATGTATCTCCCTGTTTCTCTCCCCTCTCCTCTGTTTACCTGACCGACTGATCCCATTATTCCACCGCGGTAATACACCTCGGATTCTCTCATCTCATTTGCTTCACATTAATTAATTCACACACATTAACTCTCTCTGTGTGATATTCAACAGCCTACACTTTTATCTTATTACTCCGCGCTTCTCAAGGTCAAAGAGAGAGAGAGTAGAGGGAGGAATTTATGTTTTAAAATGTTTCCTGATCTCACAAAAAATACATAATTAGCATTCAGTTTCTGCAGTGTGTTCTCCCTGCCAGTGAACCATCAGGACGAGATCACAGGAAAAGCTTTGTGTGTTTCTGAATGTCTGTGACGCAGAGAGAAACAGAGAGGTTTTTCCTTTTCATTTTTTCACCACCTGAAAACTGTGTCTCTTAATTTAGCTCCGACGAGAGACAGATTTATTCCCCAGAGGTGTACTGCAGACTCAGCTGTTATTCAGACAGCCATGTTGTGTTTAAAGACCTCTGTAATCAGGATGTGTCTCTGTTTTTATGCTTTATTGTGGGTGTTACTATACAGATTAGAAAAATGAAAAGCACAAAATACACTCTACATTTGGCTGAGGTGGAAAGTTGAGCAAATAGTCTGTCGACCGAAATGTTACTTTACGCAATAATTCATTTTTTTATGCTTCTTTCATGCAGAATAATGAATAATTTGACTTTACCACAAGATATTAAAATTGTTCAGTTTTGATGTTTTGTGGGATATATCACTATCAGATTTTGTAAGGCCTTTAATGCAGAATAACCTCTTCATCACCTGTTTGTTGTTGTTTGATAAATAAGTGTTTTCTTGGTGTTGTTGTTGAGGATAAATTGTTTTTTCTTGTTGTTGTTAAGGATAAATGAGTGTTTTCTTGTTATTTTTATGGATAAACTATTGTTTCCTTGTTGTTGTTGAGGGTAAATTAGTGTTTTCATGATTTTGTTAAGGATACATTTGTGTTTTCTTGTTGTTTTGGTGGACAAATATGCCTTTTCTTGTTGTTGGTGAGGATACATTTGTGTTTTCGTGTTGCTGTTAAGGATAAATTAGTGTTCTCTCATTGTTGTTATTGTTGTTGTGGATACATTTGTATTTTCTTCTTGTTGTTGTGAAGCTTCTCGTTGTGTATCAGCAGATGGGCGCTGTCCTGTTTACCTCGACTGCCATCTGACGCTCCTCACTGCCAGATACCTGCTGCTGTCAGGACTCTGTCGCAATACTATTCATCTTTATGGTGAGTAATGTCAACAACCACACAGAGGAGGTTAAGAAGTAATGGCTTTTATTTTCATTCGTTTGTGTACATACCTTTACCATTAATCTCCCAAATCAGTGTATGGCTCTACATCTCACAGCGTTTGCAAAACACACTCTGTCTTAATGACCATTACCACCTGAACACACACACATGCAGGATAGCTAGTAAAAAAAAGGAACTTTGCAAGAGCATTCCTTTCAGCTTACGATATTTTACGAACTCACCTTCAGCCCTCAACACACACACACACGCACACGCACACGCACACGCACACGCACACGCACACGCACACGCACACGCACACGCACACGCACACACACACACTCTGTACCCAGCCTGGCACTGTGTTTGGATGAAGGGCACGGTGGTGATAAGGTTTTGAGTAGGGGGCTAAATGTGGACGTTAAAAGTGATAAGAAGTTCCCAACGAGCGACAGAAGACAGTCAGACATCACATGAGGCGGACATTAGTCGATTTTAGACGTTAAGGAAGACTGAGGAGTGAGAAAAATCTGTAAAACAGCATCTAAAACTTCCAGGAGACGAAATAGTGACATCAATTCTCTAGTAGGAGGGCATCTGGAGATACTGAGAAAACAATAAGCAACGCTTGGAGAGAACAATTCTATTAAGAGACCGTAAATCGGACAAGGTGAGTGTAACGTTGAGCTCATTTGATGATAGGTTGCTAAAGATGATACAGTTTGTGAAGAGGCTGGTGATTACTGACCTCTGATTGATGACCTTAAAGAAAAGGAAGGCCGAGCATTGAGGAATTTAACACAGTGACTTTGATGAAGCTGTAAATGTCACCTTGAGCGGAAAAGTTAGTCTGTGAGTTGAAGCCTGAAGTTTGAGTCAGTTTATTCATGTGTCAGGCCTTTTTTCATTCAAACATAATGTATGGTTATGATTGAGCTTTCTTTATTAGCACATATGTGGTAAACACGAGATTCAAAGTGTTGCTTTTGGATGATTCTTTGTGGAGAAACAAAAGTTATATAGATCCAAGACAACATATCACGTAGTACAGTATATACAGTATATTTGTATTATATGTCAGATTAAAATGTGTATTTTTAGGAATTGCATGAATAAATGAAAACAGCATAGCAAGTCAAATGCGTTTTTTCCTCAGAGGTGACGACATGGAGGAAGAAGAGACTCCAGCTGCAGAGAGGAGAGAAGTTTTGACCGGGGAGAAGGAGAGGATGGAGGTGGTGGAGGAGGAGGGGGAACCTGAGAAACCAAGCAAGGAGGAGAGAGAGGAGGAAGGAGGAGAGGAGGAGACAGGAGAGTCCTTGCAGGAGACCCTGGTTACGAAAACGTTTTTTTCCGCAACTACAACAAGTACGATCGTGGAGGAGACGTTGGAGGAAACTGAGAAAGCTAAAGAAGATGAGGAAGGAGGAGAGAAAGATGAGACTCCGGCTAAGAAGGTTCTGGGATCCTGGGAAGCAGAGGTGAGTTTGACTTTTAAAACTCAACATAAACGACAAAAGTCCTTATTCAGCTCAATAAATCCTGAAAATAATCAGATAAGAAACCAAAGAAAGGAAATTCATGATTCAAAGATCTGTGGCTTCCTAAAACTACTTGATTCATGTGGAAAACATTCCTCTGCTTTGTGTTCATGTGAGAAGACAGCTAATTCATTTGTTATCTTTTAGATCACACTGAGATGGCTGTGCTCGTAATGACGTCTCTCAGCTTTTTAATTATCTTATTTCAGGATGGTTTGAATTGTGTAAAGGGAAAGATTCCAAAAGGCCACACGTTTTTCCAAACTGCAGCTGAATGTTTTTGAGGTTTTGTTCCTGATGAAGTGCAGATGTATTCCTCTTTGTGTTGACCTCGACACTGCAGCTCTCATACGTCTTAGAGAGGATTAGTGAAACCATTATTAGCCTCTGATATTGGGATTTTTAGGAACTGATAAAGGAGGCGAGGGATTAACACTCAGAAAAGGCTCCTTACAGATTTCAACGTCTCAGTTTTATAAGTGATAATTCAGTTTGGCAATATTACTAATAATAGGTGCAACAGAGATTATATTTTATGATGGTTTAAAGGACAAAACAGAGAGGCTCCTTCACTCAGAAAGTGGATATTTTACAGATTAACTGCACAAAATTGTGAAGTCAAATGTGCATGTATGTTTTTTTTTAGGTGTCCTCTGATGAAAAGCCTCCTCTTCCTGACCCTGCGTTCAACAGGAGGTGCAGCCTGATCGTCAGTGAAGTAAGTCACTCTCAGATCATTTTGTTATTTATACAAATATCTCTAATAAATTGTAGTTTAATTTCTTATAAAAAGAAGTAACAATATTTTCACACTTAGAGTATTGATAAATGTTCATCAGTAATGTGGATATCATGACTAAGTGGGTAAAGACAAATCATACACATTATATGTTATTAGAACATAACACCACTTTACTGTAATGCTGCCTTTAAAATCCCTTGGAAAAACAACACTTATGCCAAACAACAATATCCAGATTTATGAGAATAGCTAGTCTCGTATCACAATAAAGATATAATATCGATATAATACCCAAAACAGCAGTACAGTAGAAAATTACTATATTTCTCGAGGAAATGCAGTGAAAATGAATTATAATGCTGACAATATCATATGATAAAATATTAGATAAAATAATATAATAGAATTAAAATATAATATATATAATATAATATACTATTATATAACATTACATACTATAATAAAATAAAATAGAATATATGTTATATGATATTATATAATATTGATATTTTTTCAAGCCTTGGTTTGAAGAAATAACCTGAGATAATCCAACAGTAATATATCCAATCTCACAATCTGTGTGATGGTGACCCAGATATTCATGGTGTGTAATATCTGCTGCAGCTTCACCTCGTGAATCAAAATGTTTCTGAGTGTGAACGTCCTCTGCTGCCTCTGATATAAACCGGGTTGCTATTGGTAACCATCCCTCTAAAGGGGCAATGACTGGCCTTTTTTCAACCCGAGGAGATGTGGAAAAATTAAAGTATTTCAGAGCAGTGAAACGCTGAATGAGGGTGACGCTGGTGCAGCATGTGGGAGGCGAGAGATTGATTCCCTGTGAGTCAAAGTTGGCAGAATAACTGCAGAATGACTCATCAAGTCAACGTGCGTTATAAATCCTTCTTCCTGTCTCACTGCCCCATTTAAATATACTTCAAATGTCTATTTTTCCATAGTTGCTGGTATAATGTAGTAGTTCTTTACATTATTCATTATTTAAATTAACCTTTTTTATTTATGTGTTGCTGCGAAGATAAACTCTGAGCCTGAAGAAAATGTAAAGTCGTTGAACAACAGTTTAGAGATCTTGTTACCATGGAGACGTACGCCTCTTTAAAGTTTAGCTTCATGCTGCTTTAATGCCAAGAGGCAGCTCATGCAGAGAACATGTAAGGAATTTATTCATTTAAAATAAGGTGCAGTTAGTTTGAAATGTCTAAAATCAATCTTTCAACATTTTAAATAAAAAGTAGGATTTTAATTTAAAATGTGTCTAATATTATCATTTGAAATAATGTGTTGAAGGCCTTTTGCATTCACTTCAATAGGCACAAAACGTTTTATGTTACAATAATTATTTTTGGTAAAATGTTACCTTTCCCAAATAACATTATGTTCTATTTTCTTTATTTTGGTTATTGCAATTTGCATTTATTCAAGGACATTTATATTCATTTTATGGATGAAGAAAAACAGCACATGAAGCAAAAAATGTTTATAGTAGTAAAAAAGAGGCCTTAATTTGTATTAAAATGTTTTAAAGTAATTTAACAAAAGTTTGTCAACATTTCAAATCGTATAAAGCAGTGTTTTATCTTAAACATAATCATCATTTAAATCAAATGTTCGTCCAAATAGAGACACCTGAATGCAATTGATAGTACATTTTCTGTGCATTTTATCTATCTTCCCCATTATGTGAATGCTCTGGTATTTATGCAGCTTTTAAATGTTTTAGACGAGACATAGCAGCCGTTTTTATACGTAATTTATTAATGCTGCACACAAAGAGAGAGACTAAGACTCTGCAAAACATCTAACGCATCGTCCTCCTGAGGATAGAGTTCAACAGGAGTTCAGCTTGCATGCAATTTAAAGTCTCACACACACACACACACACGCACACGCACACGCACACGCACACGCACACTCACCCACATACCCACATTTCTCTTGCTTCCTGCAGGTGAAGTATAAGGAGGACTTTGAGAAGATGAGGGGTCAGAGTCTGTTTGTTCCTGGAGCCGAACTCATCCACTCCAAGAACATCAGTGCCGTGATATCTGAGGTACACACACACACACACGCTCACACACACACACAGCTAATGAGGAGTGTATGTGACGTAATCCATTTACCTTAACACCAATTATAAACCTTTAATCAGCCTATTCAAGAAGCAAGAAGCAGCCTATATAGCCTCACTTTCTAATATAAACACTCTTTATGTCTAAAAATGGAAGGATAAAATTATGTCGATCCTTCACCGTAATATTTGTTTCTGAAATGTGTTTCAGTCGAAGTACAAAGAGGAGGGGAAGAAGGAGGCGTCCATGTCTCTGTACTCCATTTTGCCGCAGACCCCTGAGATTCAACACGCCAAAGAGGCCTCACAGCTGCAGAGCGACGTACTGACACTTATAGTTACAGTATTTATCCGAGTTATGTAAAAACACTTTCTACCGTGTGGAGAAAGTAACTGGTTGTGTTGTTTGTGTTCCAGGTGAAGTACAAAGAGAAGATTTCCCCGTCTCTTTACTCTCTGCTGCCAGAAACCACAGAGACTCAGTTTGTCAAGGAGCTGACGGAGATGCTCAGCGAGGTCAGACGGGATGGATGGATTAATGCATGAAAGGATGAATAGATGATAGATGGAGGGGTGTGCTCTGATGATAGGATGAATACGTGATAAATCGATTGATGAATAACGCTATGGATATACAAAATGTACAAATGGGTGGATGGATGAATCGATAATGTATTCATTCGTGGAAGGATTAATTTATGGTTTCGATGGATGGAGAGTTTTTCATAAAAGGAAGGATGGATGGACAGTCAACATTAAAAAATGAATGAAAGACTGATGGAGGGACAGATGATGGATGGGTCTATGTTTGATACAGTAAATGAATAAAAGTGGATATAAATGGATACCTGGAGGATGAATGAATAAACAGATAGATGGATGAATGGAAGAAATCTTGGACGAATGAATGATCCACTTATGATGAAACTCTGTCTGCTCCTCAGAACAAGTACAAGGAGGAAGGGAGGAAGGAGATGAGCAGCAGTTTGTACTCTCAGATGGCAGAAACTTCTGAGATGCAGCTGGCCAAAACCGTACACCAGTTTCAAAGCGAGGTATATATATATATATTTTTTTTTGGGTGTTTTTCAACATATTTCATCAGATAAACCCAGAGTGGGCATTAACACATTAAGATTATTTAATGCTGCAACCGCAGGTTTGGGGCTTCCCACTGCAAATGATTAAATACATAAAGCAAACACAGAAATATTCATTCAAGTTTAAGATTTCCATCTGCAGTCCCTGGGCAGGTACACACATTGCAATCAACTAAAAACATTACATAATCTCTATCACATTAACAATTATGAATATATATCAAAGCACGGATTCAATTGCACATTTACCAATGCAACTATAGTCAAAGTCAAAGTAAACTTTATTACAGACAGAGAGATCAAAATGCCGTTTCCCACAATCCCGAATATTAAAAAAATGAATATAAAAATATGAGTGCAAATTTGTATATATATACACAGTCAAAGACACATCTTTACATGTGCACACATTAAGACCTAAATAGAAACACAACAATCAATATATACTAACAATTATTTTTTAATACAGTGAAGTGAATGTTTGCAAGTCTGGTTATTATTTTACGTCATGGGAAAAATAATGAAAGTCGTGCACGTTGTAGCTGGAAGCATATTCCAATGCACCATGGCCGTAAATGAAAAAGTATAAAAAAAGAAAAAGGCTCCTCAATGGCGAAGATCCGCATTGTAAATAATATTGAATACCAATCAAAGTTCCCAAAACAAACTGAGATTTTGAAAACTGTCAACAAATCACGGTTCCGTAATGACTATAGTGCTTGAGTGAATGTTATTTTGACACACACAGTGATTTGTTTCAGAAAAAGTACAAAGAAGACGGGAAGAGGAGGGCCTCCATCTCTCTCTACTCCCAACTCCCAGAAACTCCAGAAATACAGCACGCTATGGAGATGTCCCAGATGCAGAGTGAGGTACATAGAAACAGACATAGAAGGGAAGCCACAGGAATTCTGGGAAATGTAGTCTTAGTAGTGACACTTCATCTCTCTCTCCTGCAGGTGAATTGTCGGCCTAGTCTTTTGGTGAAAGGCGCTCCTTCCTCTCTGTACTCCCAGCTGCCCGACACCTCAGAGATCCAGTTTGCACGAGAGATGACGGAAATGCAGAGCGAGGTAAACACTGTCTACAGAGAACTCTTCTTTTAGACTTTAGATAAAGAGTACTTCATCATATTTTCTTGGAGAGTTTAGTTTGTTTGGTCAGAATCCAGGCGAGAATGTGTTTTGATCCAGCAGTTCATAATGTCTCAAACATTCCATCTATGATCCTGCACAGTTTACACATCTTTAAATCCACACTCTTATCTTACTGCATTCTTTACAAAAATGTATATTGTTTTTTTTGTTGTATAACTTTGGTTTATTATACTGTATTCCAACGTATTTCTTTATACTGTGTATTCTATAGATACTCTATAAATATATACCATTCTAGTATGGTTATGTGTATATTTTGACTCCTGTACAATGCTTGTGAAACCTTCATTCCCCAATCTGTGATAATCAAACGCAAATCTAACAATATATGTATTTAAAAGTACTTGAAGTGTACATTCAAGTTTGATTGAACAAGTTAGGAAGTAAGATTTTATTTATATTACACCTCCTAAAAATTATGGATTACATGTATGACAATGAGAGTTAAACTCTTCCCAATACTCCGTACAACGTATTGCAATAAAATCTATATTTTTCCTGATGACAGATATTTTTCTCCTCTCTCAGAGTAAATATAAGGAGGGCAGCCGGATGAGCATCTCTCAGAGTTTCTACTCTCAGCTCGCAGAGACCAACGAGACGCAGTTTGCTAAGAGTGTTGCAGAGCTGCAAAGTGAGGTAATGAATATTAATTTAATCATCTTTTTTATTTACTGATCCTGAGAGACTATTTCTTTTTGTATAGGTTTAAAAGTTTACAGCACATTAAAACAAATGTTTCTCCTTCTGCAGATGCGGTACAAAGAGGCGGGTAAGAAGGGGGTGAACTCGTGTTTGTACTCCCTGCTGCCCGAGACGTTGGAGACGGCTCACGCTAAAGAAGTCTCCGAGCTCCTCAGTGAGGTACAAAAACGACATTAACACCACAGAGACCATTGTATTAATAATAAATATGTCTACAAAATATACATTAATTAGTACACTGCTTCTCTGGCACACAGGAGGTGAAATATCAAACCAGCATAAAACTATTATTCGCTTGTTTTAATAATTGGCATTTAGCATCAATTTGAGCATCTGTTAAGCTGATCATTAGCTCACGACGCTAAAATAATTTGACAATTTACAATTTTTTTATAGGAAACACAACTGCTTCTGTTACTTTTATTCCTATTAATTGAACATTTTAAAATTAAAAAAACATTTACTGGTTAAATTACACTGCAATTACGCATCTTTCTTTTTCAGCTGCTAGACACAACTCTTAGAAACACTTACATTTACAAATATGTATGCAGGATTATAGTGCTTACGTTATTTATTTTCCCTAACTATGGCTGCATGAGAGTTTAGCTCATGTGAAAATAAAAACTATATTTTGTATTCTAATAAGCCACCATTTGTTGTGCAGCTACTAAACATATTGCTGAAATAACACACTTACTCCTTTCTCTAAATGCACAGCAGCGCATAGAGATAAAGAAATATATATTTATATTTTTGCTCTTAATTTGTCTCCATTTTGCACCTTTAATATTTCTGTATCTGTCCAGGTGAAGTATAAAGAGGAGGGGAAGAAGGAGATGAGCATGAACCTGTACTCCTTGCTGCCTCAGACCATCGACACGCAGCACGCTAAAGAGGTTACAAACCTGCAGAGTGAGGTATGCATGCAACCATTTCTGACGTTTTATAGATAAATACATAGAAATACTGTTGTTTTCGCTTATATTTTGATATCTCATTGGATATGCCAGAAGATATAGCCGTTCAATAATTGTAGTGCAGCAAGTACAACATTTCCCTGTAAAAATGAAATAGGAAGTAGCATACACTGGACAAACTAAAGCACTTTATTAAATGTACTTTCCATTATGGCAGGGTTCTTTGGCAGTAGGCTGACACTCAACTCTTTTAGTCGTATCTTACAAAAACAATACGTTTGCCCATGTCAAATGTGACGTATATATTTTTTAAATCAATGTGATACTCTGTCCTGTTTCTTCCAGATAAAGTATAAGGAAGGAGTGAAGCAGAAGAATCAGAGCACTTTGTTCCATCAGCTCCCAGAGACCACAGAGACTCAGCTGGCCAAACAGCTGACTGACCTGCAGAGCCAGGTACCAAGCACCTTTTAAAATGTATTTATTTTTTACCAGAAACAAAAAGGAAGCAGAAAAGAAAGAGAAAATCATGTTGTTGTCCCTCAACAGAACGCTGTATCAGTGTGAAATAAAAGGTAGAGGGTATTTTACTGTTCTATAGCTACAGTGAAGAACTCTTTATGTGCAGAGCCTCTTCGTGAAGTACTCTTCGCTCTCATCCAAAGCTTTCATGGAAAATCAGATCCACTAAAACATGTCAGATTTTTAAAGGCAGAGGCTCCTGCAGTTATTTATATGATAGCATAATTGTAATAACTTATTCTGCACTGTGACGGAAGAATATCACACATTTTAGTGATGCTACGTTTGTGTCTGTTGGATTGTGAAACATGTATTCAATTAAAAAAGAATAGAAAAGGACTTCCTGCAGAGACCTGTGATACAAACATGCAACAGAGAGGCTATTGTGCAGGAATGATTTAGACATGCAGCTGTAATTAGCTGAAAAGTAATATTTAATAACAAAAAGGGGTTTTGATGTGTGCAGGCAAAGTATAAGGAAGCAGGAAAGAAGGAGGTGAACAGCTGCCTGTACTCTCTGCTGCCTGAAACTCTGGAGACTCAGCACGCTAAAGAGAGCACTCAGCTCCTCAGTGAGGTGGGGTTCAATGCTGAATACAAACAGCGGGAATTAATAGTCTGATGAAGTTATTCACTTTTTTCTCGACTTCCATTTCCCCAGATTAAGTACAGGGAGAGTGGGAAGAAGGAGGCGTCCAGCTCCCTCTACTCCTCTCTGCCCGACACGTCAGAGACTAGCTTCGCCAGAGAGATGAGTGACATGCAGAGCGAGGTAAGAGGCATGCACAAAACACTGATCATGTGACTCTTTCATTCCTGACAGTGTCCTCTAATGCAGGGTGCCTATTTTAACAAACTATCTTTTAAAAAATGAGACGAGATGAGACACTGTATCGTGCATTATGTATGATTTCAGGAGATCACTCTGAATTATAATCCTCCAAAATGTATCTTGGTATTAATGTGTGTAATACCTGCATATGCAGTATCAGTCTCATCGGAAATGACACATTTTTTATAAAAGTAAAACTAGATAAATTGCAGAAAGTTATTATTATATTATATTATTATTTTTCATTCATTTAAACAGGGACGATAAAGCAAATAGGTCCATTGTATGTGAAAAAAACTGGGTTGGGGGTAATGTTCTGAGAAAGAAACTAGGATTATAGGGATCATTTCACTTGAACAATCTCACCAAGAAATAACACTTTAATATTATGTATAATTAAAGCCAATGTCAATATTTGTTTAAAATAACATCTGTGGCAGGTTGTTGTTCCTGCAGCAGCATTTCTGAGACAAGTTCCTGTTTATGTTGCATGCGTACTGAAAAAGGTTTATTAGAATCTTAATATTTTGTTTTGTCTTTTGCAGACTAAGTACAGAGAGCTTGGGATGAAGAGCCTCTCTCAAAGCGTCTACTCTCAGCTCCCAGAGACCACAGACACTCAGTTTGCTAAAAGTGTTTCTGAGCTGCAGAGCGAGGTGAGGAAAACAAACACATGCATTTATTCTGCAGACTTCTGCATCTGAGAGAAACCAGAGCTGAGAGGAAGCTCCACGACAAGTACAATCTAATATTTAAAACTGATGCATGGAATATAAATTGTTAAATACTTGAGGTAAACAGAATTAGTTTTGGGCATAGAATAAATACTATGAAATAAGATAACATCAGATCACCCACTCAGACAGAGACAAAATAATATCATATCTGATAAGACAATAAAACAAAGAGTAAGCACGTAACTCAGTACCTAGAAACAATAAATGAAGACCAATGGAAGAGGGATATTTCTAAAGAGAAAGGTCTTTTTTTGCAGATGAAGTACAAGCGTGGAAAGAAGGACGTCTCCTCCTCTCTGTACTCCACTCTGCCTGAGACTCTGGACATTCTGCACGCCAAAAAGGCTTCAGAGCTGCAGAGCGAAGTAAAAAACCTGCAGCACACACACTCTCCACACACACACTGTCCACACTGTGTCTTTTTATAGCTGGATAATTGTCTCCTGTTTGTGTGCAGCTGAAGTATAAGCAGAAAGGATCCTCCGGTCTGTTCCACCTGCTGCCGGAGACCTTAGAGACGGCCCGCGCCAAGGAGGTCTCCGAGCTCCTCAGCGAGGTAACGACAGAAAGAAATGAAGCCTCCTCCTTCCTCATGAGGCGCAGACATTCAGCACTTCTCTTTTTTGTTCCAGGTGAAGTATAAAGAGGAGGGGAAGAAGGAGATGAGCATGAACCTGTACTCCTTGCTGCCTCAGACCATCGACACGCAGCACGCTAAAGAGGTTACAAACCTGCAGAGTGAGGTATTCACAAGTCATTCTTTCTTTACTTGCTCTTTAATTTCTTGTGTATGATGCCATATATTGACCATTGAAGGGTAAAAAAGAAAATATAAAAAAGAAGGACATTAGTGTTTATACTCTGACTAAAAACACCTCAAATCAGTTTTTATATTAACCTCTTTTCAAAATCTGGATCCTTATAATAACAATATGGTAAAATGTGGGTTAAATAACTAATATTTCCTTGTTGCTAAATGTACTGGCTAATTACAGTTTGATCCACTTCAGGCATAATACACAGCAATTGGCGGCCATGTTATTCATTGTCAAAAAACGCACATTTTCCCAAAATAATTCTCGTAAATGTACCACTTTTATTTTGAAAATTCATGCCTTTTTTTTCAAAACATCTCTCCCCGCCCAAGGTTAGTTAATTTTTCAAACTTAAAATGGCCATAAAATGCTATCGTACTTGTTTCCTCAGACTGACACTCACAGTTTTTAATGAATGTTAGATGTTTGCCACTGTAAAATGTGACACATATTTGCATATATATATATATACCATTTTTTTTATAAATGTGATGTTGCATTGTTCTGTGTTGGTGTCCTGCAGGTGAAGTATAAGGAAGGAGTGAAGCAAAAGAATCAGAGCAGTTTGTTCCATCGGCTCCCAGAGACCACAGAGACTCAGCTGGCCAAACAGATGTCTGACCTGCAGAGCCAGGTACCAAACACACACTTTATACACATATATACACATTATTTATATAGAACAAGACGGAGTACTGAGAAGGATAAGATTTGGAGAAAACCCAAATATATCTATTTTAAAATGTATTGGCTGCGATTGTGATCTCAAACACTTATATAGCTTTGAATATTTTTGGAAAGTATTTGAAACAATAATAGGTATGTCTAGTCCAAATCATCCATCCTGCTTTTTACATAATAGTTTGGGGTCCATGTGTCTAAATTGCATTTTTATTTAGACATACACCCATTTAATTTGTACCAGGGGCATTCAAAATGGTTAACATTTGAAGAAAAGCCAAATGAATACAATGTTGGTTCATGAAGTTAACTATCTCTGCATTGCAATCTGCAAACTAACCCTTTTAAGCTTCATACTCAAGGTTTTTTCTCCTAAATGTAGCTTTTTAATCTGGGAAATGTTCATGCAAGGTGACCGTGTTCTCGTCAATTTGCAGAATAAGTACCAGGAGGCGGGTAAGAAGGAGGTGGAGACGTCTCTGTACTCCCTCCTGCCTCACACCATGGACACACAGCACGCTAAAGAAGCTGGAGAGCTCCTCAGTGATGTAAGAAGAAGAAAAAAAACAGTTCCTCATTTCTGATTTCTCAGTCTGATCACAAAATGTATCCATTCTTCTCTCTGCTGTTTCTTCCAGATCAAATACAAAGAAAGCATGAAGAAGGGGATGAGCAGCTCCCTCTACTCCACTCTGCCCGACACAACAGAAAACATCTTGGCCAGAGAGATGAGCGACATGCAGAGCGAGGTGAATAAAACACAGAGATAATCTGGATTGAGCAGTCAGGGATTAGAGAACAGCTTTCTGACAGTTGCTCTTTTTTAGAATGAAATAAATAGAATACAAATATTTATATTAATGTAAGTTAAAGTACTGTAAAATGTCCAATAAATGATTGAATAATATATATATTTAAATATTTTGACATCAATAACTTCAATGTTGTTTCTATCTGCACTGATTTAGAACTGCAGTTTTTGTGTTGAGAACAATATACAATATATATTTATTCTAAAATAATTACTTAAATATGCCAAACAAGTATTTTTCATGCACATGTTTTAAAAGTTCTTATCATTTAAACTATTGTGTTAGATTTGGTCACGTAAACCAAGCTAATAGTCCGGATTTGAAAGAGGCAATAGACCCTTTTGCTTAAATTAACTCATCATTATAAAGTAACTGTTGATGGCACAATGTAATGGCTGCAGCATAATGACACCATTAGTGTTTAAATTGCTTCCTTATAAACCTTAGTGTTTCACGGAGTACTTTCTCCCATGAAAATGAATTGTATCTATTGAATCTATTGCCACTTTTTTGCAAGTAAACAAAGGGGGCACTCTAAACTAGGGTCTCCTTGACCTCAAACATTTTAAAGTGAGGTTGAATAAAGATGAGGTTTGCAGCGTGCAGGATGCTGTTTGATTACTTATAAATAATCATAACCACAGTACTCAGTGCTCTGTGATGCTTTTATACCTCAGACACTGATCAGAGGTTAGATTAGCATCAGAAACAGGATCAAAGGGCTCACAGTCTGTTACTAATGTGCATTACAGGAGAGGCATTAACACGGATCTGTGGACTGAGAAATATGGGAGACTAGATTCGTACCAATTCAGGGGGTACAGGAAACATAATCTCATGGGGTCTCATTGGACAATGTATCACCCCCTTATGTTTATACATCAAACCAATATCTGTTGTTTTCATTTTTTTCCAGAACAAGTACAAGGAGGACGGGAAGAGGAGCCTCCCTCAGAGTTTCTACTCTCAGCTTGCTGAAACACCGCAGATTGAGTTCGCTAAAAATGTCTCTGAGCTGCAGAGTGAGGTAATGGAGAGACATGCTCCATAAATTATGTTTTATTTGGAAATCCTGTAGCGCTAAAAAGCCAGGTACATGCATTGTGTAATCATTGAACTCACTAAAATATGACAAATATTTAGCAAAATATGGGATGACATTAGTTGTACACGCTTGATGATGTCCCACAATTATATTACAGTGTGCTAAGTGGATACTGCTTAAAAAGATTCCTTTTTATAAAATCACATTACACTCTGAATTTACTTTTCAAATACCGGTATATCCTAAAAGCTGATTCCAGGGAAACAAATCCTGAATACTGAATCAGGTAATGCAGCTATACAGATGACACACAACTCTATATTTTTGCGTCAAACAGCATCAGAGTACTTTATTTATCTGGGGAGAAAAACTGGAAAAAAAATTGTCTTTATTCTGAGAAAAGTTAAATCCCCTGGTTTATAATTGATGCTTATTTTAAATTAGATCCCTTAAAGGAGGGGTAGGTAAGTTTGAGAAACCGGCTCGAGATACACTTTGTGTTATATTCCATGGAATGCTCTTAACATACCGATAGCAATGAATATCTTAAGTGCTTTGACAAAAAATCCATAAAGAAATGTCATCTGTGGAAGCCGTAGTACTGTAAAAAGGACATCCAATCATTTTAGCTGGCCTGGCTAAAATAACTGGATGGCCTACCTGCCTGTCAGCCTTCCATCTGTGCACAAACTTATCTCGTGCCCTCATTGGTCATGTGCGCGTTCGTGTGTGTTGGAGGAGGGGCTCTGTAAGGAAGTGGCAGATTTGTTCCGGCTGTGTATTTTCAAATTCTAGCGCACTCAAGCTGGTTTCTCCAAAATTACCTACCCCACCTTTAAGGCTTTTGAAGCCAGTTTTAAGTACATTTTTGGTTTGTGTTTTTAGATGAAATATAAAGAAGCAGGGAAGAAAGGAGTGTCTAGCTCTCTGTACTCCACTCTGCCCGAGACTCTGGATACACAACACGCTAAAGAGGCGTCACAGCTGCAGAGCCAGGTACACACACACACGCATTTTATTATGCTTTTACCTTCTTATATTCTGCTGTAAAAACTGTGAAAGTAAAGTGGCTGTGACCCACATGCTATATGTTTTCCAGCTGAAGTATAAGCAGAGTCTAAAGAAAGACGCCTCCAGTCTGTTCCACCTGATGCCAGAAACCAACGACACCATGTTCCATAAGCAGCAGACGGAGATGCTCAGTGAGGTACCACAAAGATGTAGACTCTTTGTATTTCTATTTGTCATGATCCTGCAGTAACTGATCTCTGTATTAACCAGCAGTCTGTTCTCGTTCCCCTTTCTTTCTTCAAATCAAGGTGAAGTATAAAGAAGAGGGGAAGAAAGAGATGAACATCAGCCTGTACTCTCTGCTTCCTGAAACCATCGACACGCAGCACGCTAAAGAGCAGACGGACATGCAGAGCGAGGTGCGTTCAGTGTCGGTTAATACAAGAACTACCTGCAGAATTAATATCATTTAAGAATTTCTCTTTTTTCAATCATTCTCATAGTCTGTACTTTCTCAGTTTTACTCTTCCTAAGGTGTAACACAATATGGTATAAACCTGAATATGATTGGTCCTTGTTCTTCCAGGCTAAATACAAAGAGGCCGGGAAGAAGCAAACGTCCTCGTCTCTGTACCAAACACTTCCTGAAACTCTGGAGACTCAGCACGCTAAAGAGGCCACACAGCTGCAGAGCCAGGTAAACACATGAATAAAAGAACACAAAATCATCGTTTACAAAATCTCAAATACTCCCGGGGTTAAATAAAACTAATAAATTCAGATTTGCTGCACAACTTAAGTTGACATGGCAAGTTTATTGTCATAGCATAGAAACCAATGTTTAAAATGTAACAAGTATATCAAATATAAAGTTTACTCAGTTTTTAGATTAAGACTAGCATAGAGCTCAAACATGCAAATGAATTATGTTTAGTGTCTTATTCGCCCTCCTCAGTGACTCCATGTTTTCCCCTCTGTGTTGCAGACCCTGTATAAAGAGGCCGGTAAGAAGGAGATGTCGTGTCCATTTTACCACCAGATGACGGACACTCTGGAGAATCAGTTCGCCCGAGAGATCACTGACATGCAGAGCCAAGTAAGAAAGAATATATGATACATTTGTCTTCCTGTTTCTGTGGAGATCTTCTAACATGTACTGTAAGATAACAGCGGGAGCCATTTGTTTTCTATGTTTTACATGTATAGGACTTTGGCACACCCTGCCCTTTATCATTAATCTGTGTTATTATTTAATCTAACGTGTGTTTTCTGTCTCTGGTTGTAGAATAGGTATAAAGAAGAAGGGATGAGGAATCTCTCTCAGAGTTTCTACTCTCAGCTGCCAGAAACTGCTGAGACTCAGTTTGCTAAATCTGTTTCTGAGCTGCAGAGCGAGGTGATAGCAACACGGCACATTTATGACATTTATAACTACTATAACTATAAAATGTAATTGTAAATATTTGTATCTTATTTTATCTCAATGTATTTAATATTATCATATGTTATCTTACTATATTTTTATCATCTTTACATTTATTTTATTTATATTGTCTTGTTTTTCTCAAATGTTCTCTTATCTTATCATATTTAATTTTGTCCTATTTTTTAATTTTGTATTTTATATTGTCTATTTTAATATTGTTTTTTTTAAATCTATTTAATTGTATCTTACCATATTTAATTGTGTCTTATTGTGTTTTATCCCATCTTATTTGATTGTAATCAATATCAAATGCTTTATTTTGAATTTTAGACAAAGTATAAGAAGTCTGGGCGTCAGGATGCTGGCAGCTCTCTGTACTCTGTGATGGCAGAAACTCTGGACACACAACACGCCAAGCAGGCCTCTCAGAACCAGAGCCAGGTACGCACACGCACACGCACACGCACACACACACACACACGCACACACACACTGGCTCTGAGCTAAGTAAATTGTGAATCGACTTTCCACTATTATCAGGCTTTTCCTCCCATGCACTTTCTCTCAGTAAGATATTAACACATATAAAGTGTGTGTTTGGTGCAGGTGAAGTACAGAGAGGAGGTGGGGAAGTCGAGCAGTCTGTTCTCCACCCTCCCTCACACTATGCAGACGCAGCTGGCCAAGGAGCAGACGCAGCTGCAGAGTCAGGTGAAAACACTTTGACCGTCTGTCTGAAACTCTCCCTGTGTGCAGTCTGAAACGTCCACATGCTAAATGTATTTTATCCCTTTGTGATGCAGGTGAAATATAAAGAGGGACACAAGAAGGATGCGTCCTCCTCTCTTTACCACCTCCTCCCTGAGACCGCAGAGATGCATCTGGCCAAACACCAGTCAGAGATCCAGAGCCAGGTGCTGTCAACGCTGAAATAATGATAGAAAAATAACAATACGTGACATTAATATAACGCTTTTCACAGTGCTCAATTTGAACCCATTTTTTTCTCTTTATGCCTCCAGACAAAGTACAAGAAGGACCAAGAGGATCTTTCTGAGACGTTGTTCTCTTTGATGCCGGAGACTCTGGAGACTCAGTTTGTGAAAGAGATGTCTGAGACACACAGCGAGGTGAGATGCATATTATAGTAGTTTATTGGTCTTAAAGGTAGGGTAGGTAAGTTGGAGAAACCAGCTCGAGTGCGCTAGAATTTGAAAATACACAACCGGAGAAAATCTGCCACTTCCTTACAGAGCCCCTCCTCCAACACACACGAACGCGCACATGACCAATGAGGGCACGAGATAAGTTTGTGCACAGATGGAAGGCTGACAGGCAGGTAGGCCATCCAGTTATTTTAGCCGGGCCGGCTAAAATGATTGGTCGTGCTTTTTACAGTACTACGGCTTCCACAGATGACATTTTTTTATGGATTTTTTGTCAAAGCACTTAAGATATTCATTGCTATCGGGATGTTAAGAGCATTCCATGGAATATAACAAAAAGTGTATCTCGAGCCGGTTTCTCAAACTTACCTACCCTACCTTTAAAGAAGAGTTTCTTACAGCTTTTATGTAATATATAACAGGATGTAATGTTTCTTTTGTTGGTGTGAATGGTCTTTTTAAAGAAGACTCAGTAATGTTATGACAGTGACATTAACTGTGTTGTTCTGAATATTTCAAATGAGACAGTCATTTCTGAGTAGAAATATCAACAATTCTTCCATATGTCCCATATTTACATCATAGACTAACATGTGTCCTCTAAGTGGGGTCAACCAGGGCATGGAGCTGAAATCCTATTGGTTGACAGCTGATGATGTCACAGAATGGTTGCTAATCAACCGCCAATAGCATGCACGTCTGATAACGCTGGTTAAAAGCAGATAAATGTTTTAGAGAAGTCAGGAAAATAAAAAGATTTTGGAGTAGGAGGACTGTCGTGGGTTTAATACTTTAGATTGTAGTCAAAGTGTTGTTTTAACAAGTGTGTGTATGTGTGTGTGTCAGGTGAAGTATAAGCAGGCTGGGAAGCAGCAGACAGCGTCCTCTCTTTACTCCAAACTTCCAGAAACTCTGGAGACGAAACACGCCAAGGAAGCGACTGAACTGCAGAGTGAGGTGAGTGTCTCTTTACCTTTACTGTTTATTCTGTCTGACCTTAAAAAAGATATGTTGACAAAACGTACACTTCCCCCTAAATGTATGATTCTCTTTTACTGTGGTGAATGTCATCTTGTTTTCTCACTTTTTTAAAATATTTTTCCGACAGAAAAAGTACAAAGATGAGGGGAGGAAGGACATGACGTCGTCTCTTTACTCTCAGCTTCCTGATACATCAGAGACTCAGTTTGCACGAGAGATGAGCGAGATTCAGAGTGAGGTACAGCAAACACACTTTTCTTTTTGTTCACATAAATAACAACATTTTCAGAATAAAACAATATGTCCAGCTCAGGAATAAGAGCTCAAAGGGCTTCCTTTTAGAGTTCTCTATAGATGGAGATATTATCCTCATTACAATCATCTGGATGTTTTTGTAGAACAATATATAGTTTGAATAAGACATGCTCCTACTAACTATGATAACACAAGAACTAAAGTATCTTTCTGAATATGTGTTTATACGTCTGTAGAACAAGTACAAGGAGAGTGGGAAGAAGAGCCAGTCTGTCAGTATGTACTCTCAGCTGGCAGACACCAACCAGATCCAGTTTGCAAAATCTCTTTCTGAAATACAAAGTGAGGTACGGTAATGATTTAATTTAAATGTTGTTTGATTTTATTGATTTGTTTAATGCTCATTTGTTTACCTGCAGTCACAGTGTTTGCCGCATCAGAGACAAAAAGTTCCCTTTGTTCTTAATTGTGATTTTCGTCTTATTTTCCAGGCTAAATATAAGGAGGCAGGGAGAAAAGAGTCGTCTAGCTCTCTGTACTCGAAGCTGCCGCAGACTCTGGACACGCTGCACGCTAAAGAGGCCTCACAGCTGCAGAGCCAGGTGTGTACAAGCAGCATTTGTGTATTGCTTTGGCTGTATAATTCTGTTCCTCAACAACTCCCATGATCCAATGCCACTTCACAACACCAATGTGTCTGTGTTTTCCCTCTCTGTGCAGGTGAAGTATAAGCAGGAGAGCAGGAAGGAGGCGACCAGCTCTCTGTACCACCAGCTACCTGAAACCTCAGAGACTCAGCTGGCTAAAGATCTGAAAAACATTCACAGCGAGGTGAGAAACAACTGACAGATGAGAGGAAAAGTTAAAAAAAAGTATCCCTGCTGTGTTTCTAAGCTGTGCACACTCTTCCTCAGGTGAAGTATAAAGAAGAAGGGAGGAAGGAGTTGGGGAAGAACTTGTACTCGCTCCTCCCTGAGACGGCAGACACATTCTTCGCCAAGCAGATGTCAGAAATACAGAGCCAGGTGAGGACCCTGAACGCATCATACAGGTGCTCTGCAGGGGGAAAGTCTTATTATGATCTTACAGTGTGTTTGTATTACTACTGCAGACAGAAATAACATTAGCGAATGCATTTTATTGAAAGAAAATAATCTATTTTAACCGTTTATTTTGCATAATTGATTATAAGAACTGCAATTATCATTCAGGTAAAGGCAAAGTTTTATTCAAGTGTAGTATAGCTATATTGTGCCAATGATATACAAAAAATCCTAAATCTGAGTATACAGTAGTTGTGAAATTGAGGATACTAGTGGCATATTGGGTTTTGTGATTTCATTTTGGAATAAAATAAAATAAAGATAAAATAAAAATAGAAAACTAATATTTATGTCAGTTTTTTTACAAATGTATTCTTGTTGAATATAAAGATTGTTTTATGTTGTTAAGTTTTTATTGAATACCTGAACATCATCTTATCTCACCTTGTATTTATCGTAACTTAACGGTATAAAAGGAAACAACCAGAATATTGAATGACTTCAATCCAATCTTTTTCTTTTGTCTTTTTGTGTGAAGACAAAGTACAAGAAGGACAGAGAGGATCTTTCTGAAACGCTGTTCTCTTTGATGCCGGAGACCCTGGAGACTCAGTTTATCAAAGAGATGTCTGAGACACACAGTGAGGTGAGAAACTTTTACAGTCATTGATGATATTATAAGGATTTACATTTGTTTTATGGGGAGTCACCTCACATTTTAGGGCAAAAAGACTTTAAACATACAGTAAATATAGAAAATACTAACCAGATCACCAGAATAGTCCCTAAAAAACACGCTCTTTCCTCCTTGTTTAATAAAAATGATCATGAGAAGCCGGGTTTTTCGAAAGGTTAATGTCTTTAGATAAGACTTCTTTCTTTTAGCACATTGTTGTTTTGGTTCTTTTCATGCGTTTTTGTTAAACGTCTGAAGGTAAGTCTGCAGCGATTACGTCAGTGTAATGCCCTCAGAGATAGAATGAAGTGTGTGTGCTGCGTCACACACACTTCATTCATTCACTCTGACATGTTAACACACTGCAGATAAATGGACCGTCCTTCTATTCTGAGCTTCTTATCAGAACCGCATTTAGAACGGCTGATACTTCTCTGCATCTCACCCCTCCTCCACACTCAGGGTTTTTATTCTCTGAACAAAATAAGAAATACATCATCCTTTCATCCAGTATCTGCTTCATCTGTTTTCCTCTGGTGACTCCTCATCTTTAGCTCCTGGTTATTACTTTTTTAAGGGAATTGGGTGTCTTAATCTTTGTTCTTTTCAAAACAATTGCTACTGAAGAGCTTTTCCTGACGATCCTTAATAAAAGAACATGTCAGTTACGGATACTTCTCTCTTTCTCACTCCTTTTGTGCAGCTCAGACACATTAAGAGGGTTTTTATTCACTTACCAATACAATGTGTTCATTCTGTATGTGCCTCATATGTTCTCCTCAACTCTAACTTCCTTACTGCAGGTCAAGTATAAAGAAGCGGGAAAGAAAGAGGCCAGCAGCGCTCTGTACCACACACTACCGGAGACTCTGGAGACGCTGCACGCTAAAGAGGCCACTGAGCTGCAGAGTGAGGTACACACACTATCCTGAGGGAGTTTCATGCAAAGATAGATTGATCTTGGTATTCAAACAGCGTGTTAAAAAAGACATTGAGTTTGATTACGTCTTGATTGTGTCTGGTTCAGTTTAAACTCAATTCAAACCCCACTCAAGTGACATTGTTCCTTTCAGAATAAGTACAAAGAGGACTGGAAGAAGTCGATGTGGTGCAGTCATTACGCCCAGCTGCCGCTCACCGCCGAGACGCAGCTCGCCGCCAAGATGACCGAACTGCAGAGCGAGGTACACACACACACCAAACACACACATTTACAGCTTTATAACAGCTGAAAGATTGTAATGTATTTCTCTGTGTGTGTCCAGAGTAAATATAAAGAGGAAGGGATGAAGAGTCGCTCTCAGAGTTTCTACTCTCAGCTGCCAGAAACTCCTGAGACTCAGTTAGCTAAAACCGTCTCTGAGCTGCAGAGCGAGGTGAGGAAACACTCATACTCATCTTTCTTTATTTGTGTCACTTTATCCTTTATCCTACATCTCACTGGATTCAAGTTAAGGTCCAACAGGTCGCCACTGTAGTTCAGCATTAATATCCTATTATTACTAGTTAAACCACTGTTTATATTGTAATAAACAGACCAACAAACTAACAAAAGATCTTCAGTGACTCACATGTAATCAGAGGTGGTGTAAACGGTGGCTAACAGCGGATGTTTCCTGCAGGCTAAGTATAAGGAGGCGAGCAGGAAGGAGGCGGGCTGCGCTCTGTACCACACACTGCCTGAAACTCTGGACACGCTGCACGCTAAAGAGGCCTCCGAGCTGCAGAGCCAGGTATAATAACATTCACATGTACCGAGGAGAACACTGTAGACAACTTACTCAAAGCCTCTGTCTCTGACCACGCTGTTTGCTCTCCAGGTGAAGTATAAGGAAGGAGGGAAGAAGGATATGGGCTCCTCTCTGTACTCTGTGCTGCCGCAGACAGAAGAGATGAAGGTCGCTAAAGCTGCCATGGAGCTGCAGAGTGAGGTACTATTCAGATACTTTATTGAAGTAAAAGTACTTATTCCACCCTGTAAAAACAGTCAATATCGACAGTATCATAAGAAATGTGGTTAAAGTGTATAAATCCTCGCAAAGCAAACAAACAAGCACACAAAAGTGGAGTAAATGTACTTAAATTCCACCACTAATGATTCATTTCCCTTGCCATATTGGAAATGTAGTAATAATAAATGCATTTTTTACTTTTAATTAAACAAGTGTCTTTGGAAAATGAGACTCTAGTTTGATTTTATTGTTTGATTTGGACACAAATGAAACAAACATCAGGAGGAAAGGGCAGTGAAAACATATAGATTTTTACTTGATGGGCATTATTATATTGTCGTGTGTGTGTGTGTGTGATGTGTTGGTGTGGTGTGTGTGTGTGTGTGTGTGTGTGTGTGTGTGTGTGGTGTGGTGTGTGTGTGTGTGTGTGTGTGTGTGTGTGTGTTGTGTGTAGTGTGTGTGTGTGTGTTGTGTGTGTGTGTGTGTGTGTGTGTGTGTGTGTGTGTGTGTGTGTGTGTGGTGTGTGTGTGTGTGGTGTGTGGTGTGTGTGTGTGTGTGTGTGTGTGTGTTGCAGAACAAATATAAGGAGAAAGGCAGGCAGGAGAACAGCTGCAGTGCTTTCCACCAGATGGCTGAGACTAAAGAGATGGAGTTCATCAAACACATCTCTGAACTCCAGAGTGAGGTAACGCTCAACTCACCTCCAACAGTTTTTATGACAATAAGAAATATATTTACATATTTGATCTGTATGTTTAATATATCTCTGTTAGACAAAGTACAAGAAGGACAAAGAGGATCTTCCCAACACGTTATTCTCTCTGCTGCCGGAGACTCTGGAGACTCAGTTTGTGAAAGAGATGTCTGAGACACACAGCGAGGTGAGAAACACACACATTCAGAACACACTGTGTGAATATTTCAGTGTGTGTTTGTCTGGAGAAGCCACTTTGTGCTTTGGGTTTGATTTGTTCTCGTTCTCAAACAGTACAGATTCATAATTCACCACAGGAGTCAGCACTGATGAACCATTTTTATGTGAACTTTCCAAACACTGTGATGAAAAGATGCCTGCATGACATTAACATTTTATACGTATATATTACATTGTAAGTACTAAGTATCCTTTCTTTTTTACTTCTATTTAAGTGTTACCTGAAACTGTTTCATCACAAATTGCCTGCAGGACATTAAAGTGTTACAATGTGAAAATAATTTATTTCACAAATATCACAACTTAATGGTCTTAACGCGAATTTCAATAGAAATACTTAATCAGATTCTATGTCTGTATTGGTCAGAATAAGTATACATTTATTTCAAACTGTTTTATATTATCAGCAACAATGTTTATATATTATTAAAGGAATAGTTGACAGAAAAGGACACTTTTATAGTGCTCAATGGTCCCAGAAAAAAGGTTTTCTATCAAATGAACTTATTGTGTCTTCAGTAAAAATTCATTAAAATATTAACTAGTGACTGTACTTGAAGCAGCATAAAGAATATCTCCTTTCAACGTGCAGGGTTTAAGTTTCATGATTAAAAAGCCACGAGAATAGAGATCAAGCAAGCTAAAATAGAATAAAACAGGTATTAAATACAAGAATAGAAGTAACAGTGCTGTAAGATAATAGAATTAATGATTTGATTTAATAAAAGGCCCGACAGTTAAATATGACAAAAGGAAATGTAGTGTTGCTCACGTCCTCGCAGAGTGCCAGCAGCAGCAGTATTGTGTTTTCACTCTGAGCATAATATATTATATACAGAATAATATCTAATATTGTTGCTTTGTGTTCGCAGAGTAAATACAAGCAGGCGGGTAAGAAGGAGCTGGGGAACTCTCTGTACTCTGTGCTGCCAGAGACCAAGGACACTCAACACGCCAAAGAGCAGAGTCAGCTGCACAGCGAGGTGCCAACAAGCTTCTAAACCTTTTATATTTATGCCTTGGATTCTGGTTATTCAGTCACACATTTGAATAGGGGACAAAGCATGAGATGAGTCATTCTACTTAAAAAACAGTCCTAGCATAGCCATCATCTGAGTATTCAATTGCACTGGCATTTATCAAGTTAGATATTTCTCCCACTTTAAAAATGTGCAAAAAAAAACAAAAGTTATGAGATATCTTTTAAAGAAGTTTAATCAAAACTGTTCTAGTTTTTCTATAGTTAAAAACTTTACAAACACAATCCATGCTTAGTATTTACTTTACAGATAATTGGAAGTAACTTGACTGGAAAAGCAGAAACAGAGGGAGCAAAGGCCTATGGGAAATGTGGTCCTAATTTAAGCAACCCTAAACCCTCAGCGTGAGATACACACACATTTCTTATTATGAATGCATTGATTTAACGATCCTTCCCCTAAAAACTATTCCAATACCAATCTGCTGATGTGAGCATTAATCCAATACCATTCATTTTTTCTGTGTTGCAGAAAGCGTACAGGGAGGAGGGGAAGAAGGACGCCGGCTGCAGTCTGTACTCTCAGATGCCTCAAACCATCGAGACGGTCTTCGCCAAAGAGATCGCCAAGACGCAGAGCGATGTGAGTCTGTGGTTTCGGGAATCCTTTATTGGTCCAACAGCGGGAAATTAACATCCTTACAACAGAAAATAAACAGTGCAGATGAATGGATCGAGCAAAAATAAGTAGGCCAACATTAAATAAAGAAGCAAACACATGTGTATACAACAAAGTTAACTATAAATCGAGCACATGTGACATGATCACAGACACAAAACGAATTAATAGCTTTAAAGTGTGTGCAAAGTGAAAAGGATACAGGACTTAGTTTTAATCTTAAACTGTAAAAAAAACATTATTTTTAGGATACGTTGTGTATACAGTATGTCATTCAAATTGCATAATCCTACACCTGTTTCAAGTTGATATTGAAAGTGGATATCTTAAATTATCAGATCCTCTGTAAAGCTTTCTTGTAGCACTAACATTCAAAATAAAAAAAGATCTGCTTTATCTGGGGACAGATTGCTATTATTACTATTGTTTGCATAAAATCACACTAAGAAATCAGCAGACTTTTTAAATGTGTGTATAAAAGAATAAACATCTTAAAACAAATGTCACACATGCTGGATTATAATCTCTCTAAAATGTAGAGATTAGAGCTCAGAGAAGAGCAGCAGGGAAGGAGAGACAATGATTCTTGAGTAAATGGGTCGTATTTAAACAGGAACATCCCAAGATGCTCTCTGCTTAACACACTCACATAGAGGGAGGCGCGGGTTAGTATCATTTTATGCGCTCAGGCGTTAACACAGAGAGCAGCTGTGTGTTTTCCACCGCCTGAGGACACAGACACTGACCTACCACACACACACACACACAGGTTTTGCTTCGTAATCTGGGGCGGGCACATGTTTCACTAGATTAGTGTTAAAACTGACACCTCTGAAATAAACACAGGTTATTGAAAATAAATTGTGTGTGTGTGTGTGTGTGTGTGTGTGTAGGTGTGTGTAGTCTGATGAGTCTGTGTTTGGGGGGTGATGAAGTGGGACACGATGCTTTCTGTGTCTGTCTGCTGACCGAGCAATGTGTGGCTAACTAGAGCGTAAGACTACCAGCACACTGTCTGCAGAACTCTCTGCAGAACTCTCTCTATAGAAACTGATCTGAGACCCGCAGGCTATAAGAGGAAATCAGAGAAAATCATGAGGTGTCTTTGTTGTCAAACTTTATTATCTGTGAAGAGTACCTCAGGAACAAAGAATAATACATCAATACTTGAAGACATTAATATAACTTGACACTTTCTTTTGTATGATATGTGTCTACTTGTTTTATTGTATTGTTTGTAAGAAACAGTAGTAAAAAGTTACTAAAAACAGTACTTAAGTACGATTTGAAGTACTTTCATTTACTCAAAAGCATCTATTACCACCATACAATTCAATTTGAAACCTGCTCATTTAAAGTAAACACAGAAAGCAGCAACTTTAATTTTCACTAAGTTTAATAATCATTTTCCATGCAGTGAATTCCTCATTTTCATTGTTGTAAGCTCTCTTCATTTTTTCTACTCCTTTATTTGTCCTCCATTTTTCTGCCTGCAGAAGTTTTATAAGGAGAAGTTCAACCGAGACAAGGGCAAGTCGAGCTATACTAACATGGCGACGCTGCCGGAGGTGGAGCACGCCATGGAGGTGAACAGGAACCAGAGCGAGGTGAATACATGCTGTAGTTTCCTTCCAGTAGGCCTGGGTAAAGAGCATCAAACCTTAATGTGGTCTCAGTGTCTCTCTGAGTATCCTCTGCTGTTCTCAGGTCAGCTACAGGAAAGGTAGAGAGGAGATGCATCACTACAGCTCAGAGGCCAACAGACCCGACATCATCAATGCCTCCAACGCTTCGAAGCTGGCCAGCGACGTGAGTGTGTGTGTGTGTGTGTGCGCCAGGGAGAGTGTGAACATTTCATTTCCATGACAACCGTCTCGTTCACCAGCTGTTCTCCAAGAGGAACCGCAATAAATAATAGAAAACGTTCTGCTGTTAACACTGAATTGTTCTTATGTAAGTGTGTGTGTGTGTGTGTGTGTGTGTGTGTGTGTGTGTGTGTGTGTGTGTGTGTGTGTGTGTGTGTGTGTGTGTGTGTGTGTGTGTGTGTGTGTGTGTGTGTGTGTGTGTGTGTGTGTGTGTGTGTGTGTGTGTGTGTGTGTGTGTGTGTGTGTGTGTGTGTGTGTGTGTGTGTGTGTGTGTGTGTGTGTGTGTGTGTGTGTGTGTGTGTGTGTGTGTGTGTGTGTGTGTGTGTGTGTGTGTGTGTGTGTGTGTGTGTGTGTGTGTGTAACATCCTACACAAGAACAAGTATAGCTTAAATGTTTGAAGATAGCAGCATGAGTTCTGTATCTATTATGTTATATGTGAATGTTTGTGTGTGTGTCCTTAAAAGGAATACTACACTCAAGAAAATGATAGTTTGTGTGCCTTTGCTTTCTACATGTTTGTTGTTTGTCTGCACATCCATATAGTGTTGGTTATTTTGTGTTTGTGTATACCCGTTTTGTTGGGCTATTTTAACAATTTATGTGTCCATAAATGCATGTCTTTCTGCATTTATTATGAAACATCTTTGTACGTGTTGGTGTGTGTTGCAACAATTTAAATGTTGTAATCTTTATATAAATAGTTGTGTATTTTTATTTCTCCTCATCCACATATTTTCTTCGTGTGTGTGTGTCTGGTATTTCTATAGGTAGCCTATAAGAGTAAGCAGCATGTTTACAGTGACAGCTTTCTTCTGGCGCGGACTGACATCCAGCATGCCAGGGAGGTGTCAAAACTGGCCAGCCAGGTAACACACACCCACACACACACAGCCTACCCAGCATGCATTGTTCAGATTACCAGATGATAGTTAACCTCTATGTGTTTTCCCTGCAGGTGAAGTATAAGGAGAACTTTGACAAAGACTTAAAGGGCCAGCGTCCGTGTTACAACCCTCTGGACTGTCTCTCCTTCAAACACACACAAGCCGCTTCTGCCCTGGCCAGCCAGGTGAGGAAATTAAACACACACAATAATCTCTGAAACTTCAATGATCCTTAGAGGTTTTGTTCCGCAGAATAATCTCCACATATTAACACCATTTAATGTTTTTTGGAATTTAAAAGCTAACAATAGGCCATGGAGAAACTACAGCACAGTCACATAATTCACATCACATTTCACTTTTAGTCTGTTCATTTGACAAACAAATCAAGGGCAGGATTTTCTGTGGTGAAGCAGCAACACTTTATTAACCAAACATATAATTGTAATTGTATTTAATCATCCAAGTGTGTCTCCCAAAAGACATGCTTGTTATTGTGTTTGAAAAGATCTCACCAATCTGAATCGTTTCCTCCATGTTTAAATCATCAAGAAAACATGAGTTTAAGAGGAACAAACTGTGTCTATTAGTGTGTGTTTGTAGGAGTGTGTGTCTGTTAAATTAAGTCTGTTGTGTGGATGTAACCATGGCTACCTTTATAAGGCAAATGGAGAGGGATTGTAGGATGAGAGCTGGAGAAGTTTAAGAGGTTACACACGCACACACACACAGATACACACCCACGCATTTATACACACACAAAGAACAGCATCAGACACATGCAAATGCAAATAAATATGACGAAGCAGTCACACACACACGGTTTTATTTTGCTTGTTGCCCACACAGCCTCAAGAGCTTTCCCTCTCCTCAGCGTTATGTAACATCTTGTTGTGTTGAACGCTGCCTGGTGTTCACGCTGAGCTGCTTTCAGAAAAAGAGACATCAAGATGCACATGCAGCTTTCTGAATGCATGTTTTTTTTGGGAAAGAATTTGGCAAAAGTCTGGAAGATTTTGGCACTAAATCCGCAAGAAAGGCCTAAGTGTTTTTTGAGGCTGTGAAACCTGGAGGATGGGTTTATGTTTGCAACCTCTGGAACTACTCTTAAGAAAGTCTTATTTTTAGCAAAATCATAAGGGTGAGGCCTTTACCTCTTCAAAATCTATAACCAGAAAACATAATAACCAACACCTTGTGATAATGTCTGGAAATGTTCAGTATTTCCTTGGAGTTCTCACCTAATCTGCTCCCCTTTACTCCCCTGTTGCAAATGAAGCTGCTCTGATGACAGAAACTATTTAGACTCGATCTGACAATGAAGTATACATCGTATCATATCATCTTACTGATCTGTATAGTGTTGTGTCCTGCAGGTGAAATATAAGATGAACCAGAAGCAGAAGCCAGAGTCTTCCTCAGACCTGCCCAACCTGCTGAACCTGGAGCACGTCCTGCACGCCAGCAAGCTGCAGAGCAACGTACGACACACACTGCCACTAACACACCTTAGTGTTTATTATTATGCATTGTGATTTGCATTTATAGTTTATTAGGTTATTATCTTTTAACCAATTCCTTTTAATTTGTTTATGTATTGCTACTGTAATTACCAGGAATAGGTACACATCTTTCCTCTTTCCTGGTGTTTCAGGAGCAGGATAAAGTGTGTTTTTTTATTGGGAGGAATCCTATAAATAATAGAAAGTAATTTTAAAGATGTTTCCCAGAAGCCACTTCACATATATATGATAACAATTATTTATAGTTGACCTGTTTGAGAATGTTTTAAAGAAATTATTACATATTTTACAATTTTAAGGGTTCTTAGAGGCTTGGATAGGTGAAAGCATCCAGTATTTGTGCTTGTTTTAAGGATTTCGGAGGCTTTCAAGTGGAAAGTATTTGTATTTGATTTGTTTTAAAGATTTAAGAGGCTTGAAAATGTATTTGTGTGTGTTAGGTGGAGTATAAGAAGAAGTATGAGCAGTCCAAGGGTCAGTTCCACACGGCAGTGGACACGGCGGAGCAGATTCACCACCGAGAGAACGCCACGCTGCACAGCCAGGTCACTGCTGACTCCTCTTCTTCTTCTTCATCTTCTTCTTCTTCTGTTCTTCAGTAATTAATTATCAGTGTGTGGTGTTTCAGGTGAAGTACAGAGAGGAGTATGAGAGGAACAAAGGTCGCTCTCAGATGGAGTTTGCAGACACAGAGCACTACAAAGTGTCTAAAGAAGCTCAGAAGATGCAAAGTGAGGTAAAACTCTCTTCTTCCACTCTGAAGTGCTGACATTTGAGAATTTAGAAGATGATTAAACGTGTAAGAACAGAATAATTATTATTTATTATCAGAGGGAGTATCGGAAAGATTACGATGAGCAGATGAAGGGGAGAGCCTCGATGGACGTAGACCAGACCCCTGGATACATCACAGCCTGTCACGCCAGCAGCCTGATGAACCAGGTAACGCACGCACGCACGCACGCACGCTCGCTCGCACGCACGCACACACACACACACACACACACACACAGACACACACACACACACACACACACACACACACACTATCCAGTACTTTTTGCTGTTTTAACGATTTTAAATGCTTGAAAAGGTGAAGATAATCAGTATTTAACCTCGTATAAAAAATGTATTACTTTTTAGGATTTTAGAGGCTAGGAAAGTTGGAAATATTCCGTATTTGACTTGTTTAAAGGATTTGTAGGGGCCTGAATAAGTGAAAGTATGGGACTTTGTGTTGATGTGTGTGTGTTCTTGGTGTGTGTGCAGAAGGAGTACCGCAAGGATATGGAGCGGGACATCGTGGGGAAAGGCATGGAGCTGAGCGCTGACGTCCTCGACATGCAACGAGCCAAGAGAGCCTCAGAGATCCAGAGCCAGGTGTGTGTGTGAGCTTTTTGAACAATGAAAGCTGTATGAAGTTGTCATACATAAGAGGACAACAGCTGTGATGACAGCACATGAGCTAAGTGTGTGTGTGCGTGTGTCTGTGTTTCAGAGATCCTATAAGCAGAAGGAGACAGGAAGCTCCTTCGGGACGGTGACAGACACTCCTGAGCTGCTTCACGCCTCCTACCTCAAAGACATGTACAGTCAGGTGTGTGTGTGTCTCTCTGTCTGTCTGTGTATGTTAATTATATTGTAAGAAATAGTAATATATTTCATGGTGTCGAAATATAAGGTACTGTAGCAGAGAATACTCAATTAAAGTACCTATAAATTGTTCTTATACAGCACTTAACCCACCTGTAAATATATTTGGTTTGCAGTAAAAACACAAGGTATTGATAATGAGTCAATCATCAATCAAACTTTATTTATAAATCACCTTTGGACCAAATCAATTGCTCTTCAAAGTGCTTTATAATCTAAAAGTAGGATGTTAAAAATAGAAATGTTTGTCCATTGTCGTCACAGACAGTTGACAAACATGATGAGATAAAGTGTGTTTCTGTCTCTCCTGCAGAAGAAGTATAAAGACGAAGCGGAGCGTCTGAAGAGTCGCTACAGTCTGACCTCAGAGACCCCCGAGATGGAGAGAGTCAGAAACAACCAGAGGCACATCAGCTCTGTGAGCACACACACTTCATTTATTACACACACACCTTTACTATCTCCTGCATGGGGTTCATTTACTTACTACTATCAAATCCTTCTGGCAATATTCTCTAATTAAAGATGTGGCTTTAGATTCAACGTAATTCTCAAACCGTTGGACTTTTCCACATATTGAATTACAGATATTAGGCCATCCCTTAAATGCAAAGGTTTATTTGTATGTTTAGCTTGAAAAAGAGAGAAAAGGGCATTTTTTTTTTACATGGGGTTCATTTTTGTAACTCAACACTTCCTGCATACAGTATTGTTTTATAAGGAAAGCTTTCTGGGAATACAATTACAAATGTTTGTGTAGGCTTTATGAAAAAGCGCTTCTCAGACCGTTACAAAAGGAAAAGAAGTGGAAAATGTGCCTGCTAAAAGATTGAGCTTGGATGGTTTTATGTGTTTTTATGTTTATATTTCATCCTCTGAACCTTTACAAGGGTTGAAAATGTTCTGTTCCCGGTAATGCACCCTCACTGAGTGTTTTTCTATTCATATTTTATGTTTGATATGTTCTCTGTGTAGCTGCGGTACTGCTGGGACTCTCGTCTGATGCGAGGCCTCCTGTCTTCGGTCACAGAGACGCCGGAGATCGTCCTCGCCAGAGAGAACAGCAAGAGGATCAGTGACGTACGTATACATCACATTCACTCATTGAGAATTTCAAAATCAGGGTTCAGGATATAAAGTGAGCATGCAGTTACTGATACTAATAAACAGCCCTCTGTTCCACATCTCAGACCTTAAAAAAGTGACATGCTGTGTGTGTCTGTGCTCAGGTGCAGTACAGAGAGGGGGTGGGGAGCGGCACCTCCGTCAGCGACACCCCTGAGATGGAGAGGGTCCGACGCAACCAGGAGAACATCAGCTCAGTGAGGAAACACACACACACACACACACACACACACACACACAAAAACAGATCATTTATAAAGAGCAGCATACTAATCAGAGAGAGGTGTGTGCGTGTGTGTGCGCGGACTGAATGAATACACAGAAAAGTGAGCAATAACTGTGTGTGTGTGTGTGTGTGTGTGTGTGTGTGTGTGTGTGTGTGTGTGTGTGTGTGTGTGTGTGTGTGTGTGTGTGTGTGTGTGTGGTGTGTGTGTGTGTGTGTGTGTGTGTGTGTGTGTGTGTGTGTGTGTGTGTGTGTGTGTGTGGTGTGTGTGTGTGTGTGTGGGTGTGGGTGTGGGTGTGGGTGTGGGTGTGGGTGTGGGTGTGGGTGTGGGTGTGGGTGTGGGTGTGGGTGTGTGTGTGTGTGTGTGTGTGTGTGTGTGTGTGTGTGTGCGTGCGTGTGCGTGTGTGTTTTGCAATGTCATTAGCAGCTGTCAGCTGACTGTGCAGAACAATCATACATTCAGAGGGCAGGATACTAACACACACACATACACACACACACACACACACACACACACACACACACACACACACACACACACACACACACACACAGACAAACAAACAGACAAACAGACTTTTCCTTTTTTTTTTTAACGTTAGGAAAATATATTGTTACAGGGCAAACCCAACAAAATACAATACGGTAACAAACATATTATGTCAGAGGAAAAAAAAGGTAAAGAAATTAATCAGATACAGAACAGTTCATCATATCTAACTGGATCATCATTAGTAAAGGTGTGGGAAAAAATACAAAATATCCTGCAGTCTAATTCTGCATAATACATAACATATATATAATTGTTTTTCTGGGTCTCCAGGTGAAGTACAGGCAGAGTGCAGTGAAGGCCTGCAGCGTCGGAGTGACTCCTGAACTGGAGAGAGTCAAACGGAACCAGGAGAACATCAGCTCGGCAAGACACACACACACACACGCACACGCACACGCACACGTGCACACCACAACACACACTTTATTCAAACTAAAATAAAACTCATATACTATAATCTGCAGGTGAAGTACCAGCGGGGACTGCAAGAGCTGAGGGGGCGGAGCTGCAGCGAGCTCGACACACCTGAGTACCGCCGAGTCAAGAAGTCACAGGACACCATCTCCATGGTAGCGGCTGTGTTGCCGAGGCTCCCCCTTGAGATGTGGGCGGAGATAACAAGAGTGACATGGCACAGGAGGCTGGACTGAGGCACCGATACTAAAACAGTGCACTGAGTGTGTGTGTGTGTGTGTTTTAGTGTGTGTGTCCACTTAAGCTCCAAGAAGACAGGGGTTACGGACTGTACGTATGTTTTTAAGAGTTTGTTTTAAGTTTGTAATTAAGAATTATGGCAGACCATTTAATTGAAATGTTGACGAAATGGCAATATGGACAAGTGCAATATCCAAAAACTCCAGCTTTAAAAAAAAGTTTCTGGAATGGTTGCTTCCATTTTCTTAAGGTCTGAGTTGAGAAACAGTGAACTCATCCTTCAGAAGTGTGAAAGACTATGGGTATGGACTTATGCATGAGCGTGTGTTCATAATAAAATATTTTTAAAAACACTACTGTGTGTGTTGTATTTGCTCACTGACCAAATGCCCCCTGACCTGTGTGTGTGTGTGTGTGTGTCTAATATCTAACATTAATAACTGTATTAACTCTTTATATTTCTAATTTCCATGTCACTCACTAGTGTGTTTTGGGGTATTCCCTCCGACAGGCGAAGTACCACGAGGAATTTGAGCGTGCGCGGGGCCGAGGCTGCACGCCGGGATTGGACGAGCCCAGCATGGAGCGCTACCAGAGAGCCAATCAGATGATAGGAGAGGCGGCGTACGGAAAAGGGATGCACCCCCAGGGCATGGAGACGGACAGACGGCCGGGGGGCATCATCGTAGGTCAGTGACCCCGACTCTGATCCAACCCCCACCATTTTTTTGTAACCTATATTTGTTGAAATAATAGGTATCTTCAGCAACATCTCTGTCAATCAAACTTTTCTTTTTGCTTCTCTCCAGGTTACAGGATGTGTCGATCTTGTGACATTTTTTAACCTTTAAAGGAGAGGTGTCATGGCCATTTCCACTGATCATAATTCCATTGTTGAGGTCTACTAGAATAGATTTATACTGTGCATTTTTCCAAACTCACATTGGTTTCTCATGCAGCATCTCTGTAAACTACTTGTATTCACTGAATTTCACTATCTGCCTTTAACGGCTCGTTGTAGCTCCCAAAGCTCCAGCCCCCACCCTCCCTGTGAGCACAGTGTGCTCTGATTGGTCGGGACGTTGTGAATCGCGCTGAGCTCCGTGGAGGTGTTGTTTCCTTGTTTAGGATACATAGAGAAACACAGCCAAACTCATCCTGAGCACACACAAAGTCACAGCCGAAGTAAAAACAATAAGTGTGGCTTGATATTGAGTAAGAAAAAGGTTGATAAACGCTGTGAGAATGGGTCTGCAGAGAGCCTGCAGCCAGGGAGGAGAAATCAGCTGAGCTGCCTGCTCCCTGCACACAGATGTGTGTGTGAGGAAGTCGTGGATCGGTCAATTTGGACCAATCAGCGGGGGCTTAACGTAACGGCTCCGCGGACGTAACGTAACGGCTCTTCGGGATTGGTCCATTTCGTTCCGGGTACCGCTTGACATCATGCCGTACCCGGAACGAAATGGAAGACTCAAATGGGCAGTGACGTATCTCCAACGAGGCGTTTTGGGGAGGTATTTTCTGTGTTAGAGTTTTACTCGCTACAGGGTGTACTTTGAGGGTTTTGACTCTGCACACCGTTTACATGCATAAAAACCTTCATAACACACAAGGGGACGGGTAATAACCGGAAAAGCATGACACCTCTCCTTTAACAGTTTTCAGGCAAGGTTATCAGATCCAGACTTGATAATCATCTTCTTTCATAACAGCTCAAATAACTGTTTTTAGGTGAAGTGCATGCTTGCTCCGGGGGGACAGATCTCTGCACAGGAAACCATTGCATTATATATATGTGTGTCCCCATGTCGTATAATCACAGTGAGTCTCCTCTCATGAGCTTTCCCTCCCCTCTAAGACCTGAAGGTGTGGAGGACAGACCCCGGCTCCATCTTTGACTTCGACCCTCTGGAGGACAACATCCAGTCCAAGAGCCTCCGCAGGATGTCTGGTACTCACCTGACTCCCCTCCCAAAAAAAATATAATAACAGTGATTGGCGGCTGGAGAAAAACTCACTTTTAGCCCTTTTATTTACAACCACAAAGGCATGAAACAGATCCTGTGCCACTTGTTTGAATTAACATTATTGTAAAGGTTCCACAGCAACTCTGAAAACCCTGACCCATGAAAGACCAAAACCTGCATCTAATATTTATTTAAGAGAGTGTGTGATTTAAGTCAGGTGAAACTCCTTCCTCTGTGCCACAGAGCTCATTGTTGCTCAATTGTTGTTAAAAACTCACTGTGCTTTGATTTGTCTTGCTGTCACAAATATTCTTTTAAAACACCAAGTTTGGATTAATCCACTGCTGGAAATAGTCCCCAACAAATGCACTATTTCTTCCTGTTTGTTTGATAACAGCGAGCTTGGAGGAGATGTTCTCCTATTTTGGAAATGAATGATAACATTTTTAATATAAAAAACAAAAAAATGACAAGCCTTATCCTTTAAAGTCATGAGCAACTATCCATGTTAAGAAATCATCCTCATTGTCTCTTATTTTCATTTCTGTCTCCCCTCCTCTTTATTTCCTGTCTGTCCTGATTGGTTTCCTGTGCTGCCCCCTGCTGGTGTGTTTCTGTCAGAGCGGGCTGACCTGAGCAGGCAGCAGTCGGTCAGCTCGGTGACCTCTGACCTCTGGGACCACAGCAGCACCAGCACTCCTGGTATCTTCCCTAATGTCCTCTTTCTCACTCAGACTCACACACAGCAGGGTGGAGGCGCAGACAGAGACCCTCGCATGTGTTTCACCGCTGTTTGAAGTCTCTAATCCCCCCCAAAAACGGACTAATTCACTGTTTTCTTACAGGTTTTGTTTTTTAAATCACAAACAATCACTTCAACTTCTTATTCTTTTCATTTTGTTTTCCCAATATTTTTATTACATTTCACATTATTTTACTTTATTTTATTTTATTCTAGAATGGACCAACTGTCACGAACCCAACTTCCCTTAGGTCACATAAAGTTTTCTGATTCTAACCATTTGAAGCATTTTGTTCCCACGTTGTTTGATTTCTAATCCAGGAATGTAAAACGGACTAATTCACCTCCTTCTAACAGGTTGTGTTGTTTGAATCACATACTTTCCCTAAAATGCACAGTGTGCACAGCAGAGGAGGCTCTTGGTTTTATCAGACGGATGCACGATAAGGCAAACTGACTTACTCTCTCTCTCCATCTGTGTGTGTGTGTGTGTGTGTGTGTGTGTGTGTGTGTGTGTGTGTGTGTGTGTGTGTGTGTGTGTGTGTGTGTGTGTAGCTCCAGTCCTCCCTGGAGCTTACCATCAGCAGCAGCAGCACCACCTGCAGCAGCAGCAGCAACAGCAGCAACAGCAGCAGCAGCAGTTTCACGGCTACATGCATCAGACCAGCATGTCCTCCGTCAGATCCGTCACCTCCCCCCCGCAGTCAGCCACAATGGTACGTTCCATTTCAGGTAGCCCTCTCTGCAGGAATGTTGAGTAGACAACGATATACATTTTTTAGGATTTAATGACTAAATTGCATTCTTTTTGAATGGGGCATTTTCTTATTTTAGTTTTGATTTGTGTTTTAATTTGAGCTGTCTCTTCTTCTTCTGCAGCGTGTCTACCGGGCGCTTTACGACTACGCGGCTCAGGACCATGACGAGGTTTCCTTCAGGGACGGAGACATGATCGTGAACGCTCAGCACATCGACGAGGGCTGGATGTACGGCACTGTGCAGCGCACCGGCAAGTCCGGCATGCTGCCTGCCAACTACGTGGAGTTCTGCTCCTAAAAAACATGGAGAACAACTAAACCCCCCCTCACTGCGGTAACATCAGCAGTCTGTGATGTTCTCTCGTTGCAGAGACTGTGTTTAAACTACAAAGTTACATCACATACAGACGATTAAGTGGATTTTAAAAGCTGGAATTATTTGCAGATATAAAACTTAAGCAGTTAATATCAAGCTTAAGCAATCATACATGAGGAAATCAATTGCAGACAACAAATTAGGAAGTATTTTCAACGTTTTTAGTCAGTTTCTACATCCATAAGAGCAGGACATAGACCAGAATGCAATGCAGCAACAAGTAGTGGTGGATTTTAATAAAGTGCATTTACTCTACTGTTGGGTATTTTCATTTTATGCTACTTATACTTTTGCTCCTCTACACTTTAGATGCCAACATTGTGCTTTTTACTCCACTACATTTATCTGACAGCTTTAGTTACTTTACATACAGTAATCAGATTACTAGCTAATACAAAACGTATGTATGAAACTTAAACAGTTAATATCGCAGAACATCACAGACTTCTGGTCTAAACCAGTTATCTGAGGACGGAGATTTTCCTGTGAAGGAGGGAAAGGAAAGTGATGGACAAAGAGAGAAAGTGCAACTTCATGGTCATGTGTACTAGAAATACAAATGCCTGTGCTTTGGCATAGAAAGAGAGAAGAAGAAAATATTTCAATCTAGCAAGCAGTCAACAGTCAATGTCAAATATTACAACTAGCGAAGGACGTAAGAGCGGATCGATGCATGAGGAAAGAAAATATGAAGGATTGGAAGCATCTATAACTTTTCTAATGACTTGAAACAAACTATATCAGACTTTTGACTCAGATTTAAGGATGAGAGATGAGAGTAGTACACACAGGAAGTAAGCAGGGAGCAAACAGGGGATACTAACATTCACATAAGTTACCAAGTGTCTATTGAGCAGTCCCCCCAAAAAGCACTATCCTCCTCTTTTAAAAATAAAAAATACATAAACAATATGTATTAAATTAAAGAATGAAGGATTTAGAGCCAGAGACATTAAGTCATAAAGTATTTAGACACTGAGTAACACATCGATTCGTTTGTTTTAATTGGGTTTTATACAATAAACATATATTACTTTTATACACCAGATTTCTATTTTAAGGATGCCTGAAAAATGAAGAGAAAGAGTAAAAGTAAAGATAAAAAGAAACAAATTAAGATGGGACATTTATTTTTAAGAGATCAGTGTGAGAATAGGGGGGAAAGAGGTATTCATAAAGGCGAGATAACAAGTTACATTCTTTTTTTTGGGAATGATGCAACCAAAGGAAGGAAGGATGAGTGGAGGTCGACGTTAGAAAATAGGTTTAGATTAGGTTTAGATTTCTCAAGTTTAATCTTTAATTATTTATCCTGATTTTGAATTCTTGTTCAGGTGTAGTGTTTTAGTTTTTGAGTTATTTTGACTGATATAATCAGAAAGCACAGCTTCAACACTAACCTCTGTGTTTGTACTGGACTCAACTAACACACTGTGTCTATATTTTAGTTTTTTTTAATTATAAATACAAGTTTTCACCTGTTAATTTAACACACAGTAACAGTTTACGTGGACTTTAATCTGAACAGACGATGTGTGTTCGTCTTGAGATTTCTGTATTAGACTATTTTGATACACGGTCTCTGTTTATGTTTTGGAAAGATATATATTCTATTTTACCTGTTTGTATCCAGTATGTCGTGTTTTTAGGGTTTGTTGTGTGGATTGCATCCTGGAATAAAACGTCACGCTGCCATTATTTATCATTCTAGCTGGAGAGCATTTTTTACATTATTTCATAAAAACTAAATGCAATAGTTTATTACTTACTGAGTATTCATATGATTTTTGGAAGAGGCATTTTGTTAAATTCAACAATGTAAAGTTTTCGATTTAGTCTGTATGTCATCACAAGTTATACTACGTTTATTTACATATTATTTGAAAATATATATCATTCAATATCAGTTGTGTTTTTTTTTGCCATAATGATAATTGCAGTGTGTTTCATGTGGTAGAAATAAAAATGTGTCAAAAGAAGTGTGGTTATTTATTCAGAATCATACTGTTAATCAGAAGGTATACATTTATTAATATATTACATATTAAACCTCATATACATTAATATATATATTCAGATTTTAACGCTTGAATTTATTGGAGAAATTGAATCAATTAATTCATTATTAAGATTTAAGATTCAAGCCAGAAAATTAATAACAATGAAATTCATATTTGATAAAAGAAAATCCGGTGTTGGTTTCCCCAACAATTTGTGATCACCTTAACTTAGTCTTAACCTGACCTTAACCTCAACCTTTGCTCTAGCAAATACTCTTCTAGAATGATTAAATGTATTAACCCTTACCCTTAAATATAAAACTTAAATTATTAAGTACTAAAAAGATCCTCAAATTGGAGAAGCTGGAACATGATATTTTTATCATGCAAAAGGTAATGATATTTTCAAAATAGCAATACAAATATACTGAACAATCAATATATTTTACTTTGGATGATTTAAGTAGTCTACAGTTTGCTTGTATGGGATTATTTTCACAGTGAACAGTACTTTTACTTTTGGAGTGCATCGCTGCGGGCACTATTTTAAAGAGGTAGCCCAATTCACCACAACACTAGTGGCCGGTATCTATTGCGCCTGCGTCATAGTAATTGTAACGGAAGTGGCTCGCCTCTCACACAGCCAGGCTGTCTGACTGACACTGAATGAAAAACGCACTGATTTCGACTCCAGAATGATGACATTTTTACCCAAACTGCTGCTGCTGGCGCTGATAGCGTTCCCGGCGACATTCCTCATCAAAGGTAGTTCTTTAATATAGCTTCTTACAGTGGTCGAGGCAAAAAGGTTGAATGAGCTTGTGAGCGTTACACGCTAGTATTAGCTGCTAAGCTAACTAGCCGCTAAGGGGGAGGCCATTCTCCATTTGACATGTGCTAGCTGAAGAGTAAATATGGGTATACAAATGAAATGCTTCTTTGCTCTTTGTGGAAATTGATGAAGTATTAACGTGTAGTTTCTGTTTTTGTGAAAGCGTAATTGTCACCATTTATGGTCCCTTTAAGTTTGCTACATGCATTTATATGCTACTGCTTACACTGACGTGTCCTTACTATCTGCTTGTTAGCTGGTAGCTGGGATGCTAAGTACCTTGGTTAGCTGTCACTGTCGCTTCCTAGACACATTACACGTTAAAAAAATAGTGTATCAAGTCTAAACTCTTGACTATATGTCTCTATTAGTGTTAGTTTTCAATACACATCTATAAAAGTTGTATTAAACTGGCTTGTGTCACATGTTGTCAGGCTAGCTAGCTTAGCTTTAACAGCTAACATTTGCGGCTGTGGTTTAGTAGGCTGGTATTTTAAAGGACCCCTGACCAGAGGTATGTTACTAAATACATTCGATCAAGTTAGGTTCTTAAGTATACGTATGAATATGATGTGTTTGTCCCATCAGTATTTAAAAAATATGCAGCTGTATACCTATTATTAACTACATCTCAGATGTAAATACTGTGAAATGTTCCCCTTCACTACAATTGTCTTGGAACGTATTCGATTTAGTGAAGTGTATTTAATAAAAACTCAAAGAGACACCTACTGGCACACCTCATCATAAAAACCTGCAGGTCTACATTCATTGTAAATGTAAGTAGTATTTATAGCATTAACATGGAGGTGTGGCTATAGATATCAGCTGTATATTAGCCTGAAGCAAACTGCTAAACTATAACATACATAGGATTTTATTTACAATATTTTATTAAACTAGTTGAACATCGATGAATGAAAAGAAAAACATATATATTAATGGTTGCCTTTTTTTAAAGTGCATTCTCTACTTATTTACAAAAAAAAAGTGTGCAATATTGCAATTTTCCAGGTTTGGCTATATCACAAATAGACATGATGACTATTTAATAGGGCTGTCAGTCGATTAAAATATTTAATCGCGATTAATCGCATGATTGTCCATAGTTAATCGCAAATTAATCGCACATTTTTTATCTGTTCTAAATGTACCTTAGAGGGATATCTTTCAAGTTTTTAATACTCTTATCAACATATGAGTGGACAAATATGCTTTATATGTTTGTTTTATCATTTGAACAATGACAAATATTCTCATGAATATTAAACACAACCTCTGAACATTACAAATATTCGCCTCAATTCAACCTGGAACCTCTCTCGTGTGTGTGTGTGTGTGTGTGTGTGTGTGTGTGTGTGTGTGTGTGTGTGTGTGTGTGTGTGTGTGTGTGTGTGTGTGTGTGTGTGTGTGTGTGTGTGTGTGTGTGTGTGTGTGTGTGTGTGTGTGTGTGGTGTGTGTGTGTGTGTGTGTGTGTGTGTGTGTGTGTGTGTGTGTGTGTGTGTGTGTGTGTGTGTGTGTGTGTGTGTGTGTGTGTGTGTGTGTGTGTGTGTGTGTGTGTGTGTGTGTGTGTGTGTGTGTGTGTGTGTGTGTGTGTGTGTGTGTGTGTGTGTGTGTGTGTGTGTGTGTGTGTGTGTGTGTGGGGAGATCGTTGGAGCTATGTGCAGCTCAAGGCATATATGCTCGAATGAGAGCTGCCTGGACGCTGCAATCATGTTGCGCGTACTGAGTGTGCTGACTTTTCGTACAATGTCCCACTGTCTGGCTACCTGCATAAAGTCAAGTGCTCGGCGCAGTTGTCGGCGAAATGTCATTGAAACAGCTCCTTATATCCGTTAGCGCAGCTAGCTAGCACCAGATGCTAACAACAACAACACGTAAGGTGTGCCTCGCGCGAGTCGCGCCACACAAACACACTCCCTCCCGGTCCTCCCGATGGCCAGTCCGGGCCTCCCGGTGAGCGTGGAAGTGTGGTCTGCCACAAGCGGGCGGTAGGAGCGGGGCTGACAGCATCAGCTTGTAGATGGTATTTTACACTCGATGCGCTCTGAAACTACGGCGGCCGAGGACAAAAAATACACATGCGTTAATCGCGTTAAAATAATTAGTGGCGTTAATTTTTTTTTGCGTTAACGCGTTATTAACGCGTTAACTTGACAGCCCTACTATTTAATAAAACTCAATGTATTGTGCAGCTCCAGTCTTTGTCCCTGTACTTAGTAGACCTTGCCCTCAAAACAATTTCTATAAACTCCCAACATCCTTTTTCATGTGGAAACGTTTTGATCCACAGAAGGAAAATGACAGTCTTGCTGACATTTTTTGGGACAATGTCATGCCAGTGGCTGGTTGAGAGGACTAGGTGTGCTTTTGGATTCCCAGATTTTTCTTGCGGCCACTTGTCACTAGGGATGGGTATCGTTTGAAATGTATCGATTCCGGTTCTGCTTATCGATTCCCCGTTTCGATTCCAAAATTGTAAAAGAAAGAGGTCAAACGTTTAGATAACAAAAATATCTTTATTCTTTTAAGCTTTAACTGACATTTTTACAAATAAAAAATATACATGCAATACAAATGTATTGCACAATAGCTGTGCTTTATTTTAACTGAGCTATGCCTGTGGCAAGCTATTAACATGCATTACACTGTGCCTTGTCTTTTTCTTTTTTAGTGTAGTGGAGCCTCACTTTAGAGCATTTACCGCGATCCATCTTTGGTGTTATGAAGTGACTGAGCTCGTGAACTGTCTACGGGAGGGCGGGGGGAGCCTCGCTGCGGGGAAACTGTGGACCTCTGTCGCCGCAACTTACATGATGCCGTTAAAAAAAATTAAGGGCGGTGCCGGCCGTCAGCGTACTGAGCCGGCCGTCAACGGCCCGCTGACGACCGGCCGTTCTGTGATTCTCCAGAAAACACACAGATGGCCAGTCCACCCTTACCCTGGCTGTATTCCACCGGGTCACCGCGGCGCAGACGGACCCGCGGCGCAGACGGACCCGGTGGAATACAGGGTCTACCGCGTTTAGGAACCGTTAAGCAGAACCGAAATTGTGTGTTTTGTATGGGTACCCGGTACCCGGCATTTTCTTATCGGTTCTCATCTGGAACCGAGTTTCGGTTCCCAACTCTACTTGTCACAAAAGATTATAAAAAGTGTTTTCCCCCCAAATCTCCCATTGTGTAATGTCTATCAAATTACATAACAAACTATATCTTTTTTAAAGGGCCGATGGTGAGTGCCCAGGATCTGACGGAGGACGAGGAGGCGGAGGCTGAAGCTGAGACTGAAACTGTGGACGTGGATGAAGACGTTGTGGACGATGCAACGGATGAAGACGACGAGGCGGAAGTGGAAGACGATGAAAACGTGGAACTAGTGAGTTCTAATCAGGCGTCATCTTTAGTTCTAGGAAATTATTAAGAGGATCATAATTATGATGGGTGATTTCAGCTCTTTTCTGTCATTTATTCCTTAATAGTTCAGTAAAATATTCTTAAAAGATCAACCGGTAGAGAAAGTACTTGTGGCTGTATTTTGCTCGTAAATGATTAAATCAAATATTCTTAACATATTAATCAATTGTGAAAGTAATTGTTACATATTTTCTTATTCATCTCCTGGTAGCGCTTAAGTTCTATCATAACAAATATAGCTTTTTTTTTTGCATTATTTAGAGAAGTCCAAAGCAAATGCTTCTTATAGGATATGAAAATAATCCGAACGAGTAAAGATTTAACCTCTGATTTTAATATACAACACAAAGATTAAGCTCCTATTGATAATTATTGAAACTAAACCTGTGTGTCTGTGTAGACGGAAGAAAAAGAAGATGAAGAGGAGGAGGCGTTGGTTGGAGAGGTGAAAGCTTCTCCTAACGCCGACACCACCATCCTGTTCGTCAAAGGAGACGGTAACTTTTTATGACATCTTCAAAATTAAAAGATTACATTTTTAAGTCAAGCAACAGCAGAATGAACTTGTCTTTTCTCTGCAGATTTCCCTGCCAACGACGTCGTAAAGTTCCTGCTCGGCTTCAGCAACAAGGGATCAGAAAACTTCATCGTGGAGTCTCTGGATGCCTCCTTCAGATACCCTCAGGTACAAAAGAACCCCGAAATACTTACCGCAAGATAACACAAACTTAAAGATACAAATCGTACAGAAATAAATACAGAAAAAAAGCATTGTAGCATTGAAAGGAAGAATTATTTCTAACTTCCTGTGTTTTTCTTTCAGGATTACCAGTTCTACATCCAGAACTTCACGGCGCTGCAGCTCGGCATTGAAGTCCCCGGGGGTCGGCAGGCCACCTTCGAGTACTCCTTCATCCCCGCAGAGCCCATGGGGGGGGCGGCCGTTTGGACTCGTCATCAACCTCAACTATAAGGATGGCAACGTAAGGAGAAAAAAACATCAAATACTAGATTCTTGCCAATATTGGGCTATTATAGGTCACTGACATATGTTAGTCTTTCTTCATAGTCTGCGGAGGAAGACAATTACACAACACCATGACACACTTAATATCCTGTTGCCTTTCTCACCAGTTCCTCTACTTGTGATTAGAAATGTGTGTATTTTATAAGTTAGATCCTTGATGTAGACCCTTAAAGTCTGAGATTTGGATAAAACTGCAGATTGTGTTCAAGCTAACCTGATGTGTACATCAGGGGTTCCGCTAGGATTTTTTCTTGCCGGTTAAGTGTCCGGAAATAATTAATTTTACCGGACAAATTTGAAACTTACCGGTTTGTTTCAATGTTTCAATAATAATAATAACGAGTTGCACTCACGTGGGCTTTGCCCACGTGACTGGGCTCGCGCGGACTATCTGCCGTCACTATTTCCGAACCTTTTCTGTGCTTTTGCCGGTCGTTTTCCCTGTTTTTGGATGTTTTTTGCAGGTTTACCTATGGTCTCAGACCCTAATTAGAATTGTGTAGCAGAGTTTCCATTAGCAGGTAATTACCGGACTATGACTGGATATGCTGATGTTTAAAACTCAGTTAATGGGGCTCATTTTTATATTAATTCATCATTATTACATTCAAGCAAACTACTTATAGTAGATGAAGTACATTATTCAAAAGTTTACATTAACTGTGAATAATAACACGGGAGAAACGGATCCTCTCTTTTGCTCTCTCCCTCCCTCTCTCCTGACAGCCCGTCAGTTTCTCATGCAGCAGCTCGCTAAACAGTGGGCGGGGCTTCAGGTGATCATGCAGAGCTGCGTGTCTCGGTCAGACTCAGCAGCTGATCTGATCTCTGATCTCTCTCTCGCGTCCGGTTATACTTCATTTGCGTTTATGTCCATATCGATCAGATCCAGCTCTCCTGATCGGCCTTTATAGAGAGCACCGATCAAACTATTAAGAGTGAATATCGGCCGTTAATGATCGGCGGCCAATCGATCGGAGCATCCCTAATTATTACCGGACATTTTGACCGGCAGGTTTTGAATTTACCGGGTTTTTCTAAATGTTACCAGCTAAAAACCGGTAATTACCGGCTAACGGAAACCCTGGTGTACATATAGTGAAAGATGAGGGTAAGAAAGTCTGGGCTGACTAATGATTTAAAAAAGGAAAAGTAATTTGTATCTTTCTTTTCTTATCTCTGACCTTTTTCTCTTTTTCTTTATCATCTTTATCTCTGATGTTGCTTTCTCTAAACCACTTTATCTTTTTCCTCTCCTCCTCTCTGTAGGGAAACATTTTCCAGGACGCAGTGTTCAACCAGACCGTGACCATCACAGAGAGAGAGGACGGAATAGACGGAGAGACGTGAGTTTTTACTTCATGCAGCTTTGAAGTGTCCTCTTTTACTTCCACTGTTCTTCATTGATCCTTGCATCTGTTCTGAGCCTCTTGAATATGTCTTTCCTCTCCCAGGATCTTCTTGTACGTCTTCCTGTCCGGCCTTGGGCTGCTGGTCGTTGTCGGCCTGCACCAGCTGATGGAGTCCAGGAAGGTACGGATGAAAACAAAAACAAATATTGCAACATCAGTATCTGGGACAAAATGGAAAATTACACTCGAGCAACAACAAAAAAGGCAGACAATTATTTATAAATTGAGGGAAAATAACCCCTTTTTCAAGTAATTTATATAAGAAAAATGATGCAAATTCACCTTTTGAAACTTGGGAATATGCTTAATTGCAAACTAAATATACACGTGATGATGTTTAGTGGGCTTTTCCACTACTTTTTACATTTTATAGGCTAAAAGAAAATCACTTGCAGCCCTCACAATATGTGAACGGTATTCAGATGAGTGACATGCTAGCATATCAATAATTGTTGTAATATTTATGACTTTACTGCAGCTTGTTTTTTGACGTTTTATCAATCTGTGTGTGGTGTGCAGAGGCGGCGTCCGGCTCCAAAGGTGGAGATGGGAACATCCAGCCACAACGACGTGGACCTGAGCTGGATCCCTCAGGAAACACTCAACCAGATCAGTAGGTCACACACACACACACACACACACACACACACACACACACACACACACACACACACACACACACACACACACACACACACACACACACACACACACACACACACACACACACACACACACACACACACACACACACACACACACACACACACACACACACACACACACACACGAAATTAACATTATGAAATGGCGTAAGTGCAAAAACTAAGCTGTTCACATTTGAATAATGCCAATACTAAAATGTTAGTGCAAAGATAAGCTATTCACATTATGGTAACAATCATATAATAGTAGTGGAAAAATAAGCTTAACACATGATGACACTGACATTTAAAAATGTTGTTCAAGTGAAAAATACATGTCTTGGTGTTTCTATCTCTCCTTAAATACCAAGTAGTGGGTCTTGATGTTTGTTTCCTCGGTGATCAGCTGATGTGTGTCTCTGCTCTCTTCCTGCTTCAACTGTTTGACCTTTGACCTCCACTGTGCATGAGGGTCACTCACTCTTCTCTCTTTTCTCCTTTTCCTCGCTCATGTCTTCCTGCGTCTTCAGTGCAGAGTCGCAGAGGTGAGGTCTGCTGTGTGTGTGAGAGTGTGTGTGTGTTCACTAACATGTAAATGTAGTGCTGATGTCTGAGTGGTATAATTCCTTTTTGCAAATAAGCTTCCTCTCTTTACAAATGCTCTGATTTATAAATGTTGTTTAACAGCATTCACGAACATTTCCTCTCTTATCCCAATGAACCATCAATATTAAAAATGTATTTCAGTTTTTTTTAGGATATGAAATCTCCAGTAATGGCTTGTAGGATTTAGAAAAGGTTGGCTAGTAAGAATACATATTCAGCTGTTTTTGATCAAAAGCAATCAGAGCAACTCTACCTTTTCCCTATTTTGCTTTTTGGGGTTTACCCTTTCCTTAACTGATGATTCACTTAATTAAAATTGAGTAAGAGAAAGGTGAAGTGATAAAATATGGTCACAGACATTTAAAGTTTATTTTGAAAACCTCCAAAACAAGCTGTGAATGTAAAAATGTACCTTTTTTTTTTTCACTTGACTCCTGTAAATGAAATGTGTTTGTTGTATTTTTTAATCCATCACTCACATGTTTCTCCTTCCTCTCCAGACAAAGCGTCTCCAAAAATATCTCCTCGCAAAAGAAATCAGAAACGCTCAGCCGGCTCCGACGAGTGACGGCGCCCGACACCACGGGACTAACCTTCATCATCCCGTCTTAGAAGAGCAGGAGGAGGAAGAGGAGGAGGGATGAGAGCGCACTCTGCCCTCTCTACTGAGGAACTTTGACCAGTGCCAAGCACAGCGATGACTGGCTCTTTACTTAGCTTAAGAACTGTACAACCTACACACACACACACACACACTTTCATGAGGCTGTCAGAGGGAGTGAAGAGGATCCTGAACCAGGTGTGTTGGGTTTTAAGGGGAAGACATTTCTCTTACGGTTGTTGGTTTTTCTTTAAGATTATATTTGTTGTTAAAGCCTCAGTATGACTGCTGATGTCATCATTGTGAGACCGTTTGATTGTTTTTTTACCTCCTTTTCTGATATCAGGCTGGGTCTTTGATTCAATTAAGCAATTAACCAGCTGAGATAATGAAGTCATCAGTTGATTCACGTTCAAGAGAAATGCCTGAATATCTTCTAGTCAAACTTTTCCTTCTTTATTTCTCTTTCTGTCGGTAAACTGAGTATCTTTGGCTTCAGGACTGTTGTTCAGGCAAAATATGTTATCAAGTCGTCTTGTGACAGACATCAGTAACTATTTGAGAGAACCTGATTAAGTATTTTGCGTATGACTTTAGAAATGGCACCAGGATCACGGTAACACATGCAGTTTTTGTTTTTGGATTGATTTGTTGTTTCACTGCACAGATTCTGGTGTTGGCGGTCACACATAACAATGAAGCTTCTTTTTTCAAAATGTCAGAAGGACTCAGTCACTCTTTTTGCAAGTACAACATCTCATAGAGTTCATTTTATACCCTGGGTGTGACATGACGGCAAAACAAAAGTGAAAAATACAAGAACATCTGAATGTGTGACATTGCTGGTTTCTGCTGACATGTTCTCATTTTAAAACCTTTGAACATCACATTTAACAAAATGGGAAGCACAGATTAAGTATTAAACAATAACTTAAAACATATTTTTAATTTATTTGATTATCGATCAATTTTTTCAGCCAACAACGTGAAGAATACCCTGGTTCCCACTTCCTCAATGTGAATGAATAACTTGAAGTGAGTGGAGCGAGGTGCCCTTTAACCCGACACACTGAGGTCTCGTCATGTGAACACACACACACACACACACTGGGTTATGAACATCTTAAAGAGTTAGTCTAGCCCTGGACGTGTGCCTGTTTTCTACTCCTGTCTGTTAATCAATCAGAACAATAACTTCCCACTTACTGAATTGAAATCTTTGTTTTTTATGTTATGTTTTCTTTTGAATTGTAAAATGTCTCCCTGGCTGAAGCACTGGTGTAAATACTGGCTGATGATGAGCAGAAATTACTGAGCTAATTTATTAGAGTGACAGATTGGGTTTGTGCACTGTTTTTTCTATTTTGTTTTACCACTAGGGGGCAACACAGACTTTGGTTTACACTTCCTGTTGTGCAGAGTTTGGATATAAATGATCCAATACACACCGCAGGAAGTCTGATCCAGTCTGAGCGGATGTAGGGGTTATTTTGTTCTTTTTCTAAAATAACGGGGCTGTCGTTCATAGATGCAAGCGTCTTTTATTTGCTTTTAAATGTGCAGGAAATAAACTTGATGATTTGCATTATTCTCCAGGCCTCATTATTTTTTCTTAAAGTTGTATTACATTACATGTCACTTAGACGCTTTTATCCAAAGCGACTTACATACTCAATACTGTGGACAATCCCCACAGGAGCAATTTGGCATGAAGTGTCTTGCCCAGGGACACAACGACATGCTGACTGCAGTGGGACTCAAACTTGCTATCCCCTGATTCAAAGTTCAGCGCACTAATCTACTGAGCCACAGCCTCCTTTTATCCTTTATGATAAAAACATTTATTAATTCACTGGTAACCGATGTTAAAAGTGTTAATATTAGCTGTACAAATATATCCATTTAAGGTGCATTAAAGCTAAGCCTATTAATTTACTGAAAAAATACTTTTCTTCTCTCACTTTTCAAGCAAAAATGTAAAACATTCACGCCTCTTAAAGTTTTTTATATTCAACTTTTCTTTGTCGAGTTTAATATTTGTATTTAATATCGTTGGATTTTGAGTTGTCAGTCAGTTTGGAAGAGCGTCCTGACTTTATAAAACAAATCAGGATTTTGAAGTAAAAGAAGCATTAGTTGAGTTATATTTTGCAATATAAATCAATTCAATAAAAGTACTTAAAGCTCCCATGTCATGCTTTTCCGGTTATTACCCGTCCCCTTGTGTGTTATGAAGGTTTTTATGCATGTAAACGGTGTGCAGAGTCAAAACCCTAAAAGTACACCCTGTAGCGAGTAAAACTCTAACACAGAAAATACCTCCCCAAAACGCCTCGTTGGAGATACGTCACTGCCCATTTGAGTCTTCCATTTAGTTCCGGGTACCGCCTGATGTCATGCGGTACCCGGAACGAAATGGACCAATCCCGAAGAGCTATGGCCACACCAGCAGCGTCGTGTTCCTCCTCCAGAGGTTCGAAGAACCGGCATTTCACAGACGAAAGCTTCCAAAACATTGCCCAGTTTGAGGCCGGATATGCACAGCTTGTTTGGACCGTTTGGAGCAGGGGAAGATCTGGGTATACAACCTGTAAGTTTGCATTGTTATTTGTGTATTTATCAAACAAGACTGTTTAAATGTGTAAACTGTGTTGGACTGCTAAGCCATTGACACAGTGCTAACTGTGCTAACTAAGTTGCTAGAGTTTCCATATATCAACTCTAATATCAGCAGATGGCCTTGCATACATGTATCTCATAGCAGGAGAATGTCTGCATTCACACACAAAATACCTATTGACAGTATACTCCGGGTGATTTGCCGGTCAGTCGCGAAACGTAATTACATTATAGCTGGCGTAGCGATCTAACACACGGAGGTAGAGCTAGTTTTGGTCAGAAAAACATTTTTGTGATGCTACGTTGCTAGCGTTTAAATATATCAACTACAATGTCAGCAGATGGCCTTACATGTTTGTCATGGCAGGAGAATGTCTGCAGTCACACACACGGAATACTCATACAGTATACTGTACTGTGATTTACCGTACATTGTGACCGTACATATACTGCATGTAGCTAACGAGGCTAGCTGTATGCTAGCGCAAAACAATGTATTCATGCAAGTTACATTGTATGACCGAACGTAGCAGAATACCCGTATACGATTGCAATTATAAACACGTTATTGCTAGCCTAATATGAACCACTAGCTTTTGTTCATAGTAGTTTTATTACACTGCATTATAGTTGCCTTTCCTCCAAGCTAACGTTCATATCGTGTTAGCTACCAAGGTAAACAAAGCTAGGTTAGCATATTAGCAGGCAAGCTGTTCATTACACAACTACTACTAACGAATCTAAAACAACTAAGTTTCTCTAATATTTTGTGATTTGCATTTGATTTCGTCCAGCCAGATCCTGGCGGACAATCCATGACGGGGAAGGGATTCTACTACTACTGAGGGTGCTAAAAGGCACCGCACCGACTGTGCGCAGGCAAGATGCGAGGAGGAGGAATGGATGATATACCGTGTATATATGTATATTTATGTTCATTTTGTACATTTCTAAAAATAAAGTTTAATGGAAATACTTAGTAGGCCTATCCTTTCTTCCCTGAATTCATATATAGCAAACCATGATTTGATTTCTCATCAAACAGTAGTAGTTTATAACGGGTAAAAATAACTTACTCTTTGTTATGAGAGTAGCTCGTAGGCCACAACGGAAAGACAAGGAGACATACACGAGTTTACAAAACCACGGCACATTTATTGTGGTAAATGCAGAGACAGGTGGTCGAGGGGAGAGGGTCGCTCAGTTCGTCCTTCTGCAGCCGCTTTGGAGAGAGACTCCGGGCCGCTGGGATTAATAGCACCGGCTACGGAGGTGTCCGTGATCGCGCTGATTACCCTCTTCAGCTCCACCCCACCGTAAGACAAAGGCCCTGAGGCCGTCACACTCTTCTATAACAACAGTTAAAAATATATATGTATATAAAATATACCGCTGTACCGACGCCATGATAAGACTGATGTTACGCTGAGAGCAGCCGGGAAAAGCACTGACATGGGCGCAGCCTCTCTGGTGGTTGACTAATCAGAACGAGTGGCCGAGCTGACCAATCGGAGCACACTAGGCTCACAGGGAGGGGGGGGCAAGAGCTCCAACGAGTCGTTTAGTGGAGAAAGTGAATACTGCTGAATACACATGCTTGACAGAGATGCTGTATGCGAAACCAATGTGAGTTTGGAAAATTGCACAGTATAAATCTATTTTAGTATACCTCAACAATGTAATTATGATCAGTGGAAATGGCCATGACATGGGCCCTTTAATCTCTGACCTTTAACGACCTTTTAGTTTGTTTTCTTTAAAGATATTTTTGTACCTGTGTAACGTAACCTTAAAGATTGAGTAATTATTACGCAGCTCATTGTGTTCCACGTCACGCAGAACTTGTCAGTAATCACTACCTATTTCAGGGTTGCCAACTCTCACGCATCTGGCGTGTGACACACGCTTTCACTCTCAATCTCACGCTCTCACGCTGCCCAAACTATTCTCACGCCAAAAACAAGAATACCGAAGACTAGAAACGGTTTTGAAAACTTTTGTCACGTAGTGATCGTCTTTTCAATAGAACATCTTTGATAATGTCTTCTGGCCAATCAGAATCACGATAACGGCGTCGTGTTGTTGCAGGAAGTCTCGACGGAGAATACTTTTGCGGTAGTACATCTCTATACATCGATACAACATTACGTGTTGATATAAATCAACACGTAATGAAATAAGACCCCACGGTTTGATGATTGATAGGTGTGTGGGCTGTCTTTCATTTTGACACACAGAACAATGGGGGCTATCCACCCTTATCCACAATGTAAAGTAATTCACACAGCCTCTTCCCCTTTCTCTCTGTGAGGAGCAGCAGGTTCAGCTTTCAGAACAAAGTCACAAAAAACTAATATGGCATTCATTTTTTTTAAATGTGTAGTAATAGATTTATTTATTTTTCTTCTCAAGAGAGTACCAGAATGTGTATTTTATGTTAGTATTTCAAAAAATCTCCTGGGGGAGAATCCCCCCAGACCCCCCTGCAGGGGTTGGGTTTTCAGCATGTCAACTCTTTCACCTGTGGGGAAATTGCAGGATTGGCTCCAGGTCACCCTTTTTATTTACTACAAGACAAATGTGCCTTTTTATTTCATACAGTTCAATTTGGATTGAGACAGGGAAATAATCTAAACCTCACGCGTGGCGTTTCACTGTCGGGGGGAGCGTGTATGTAATTACATTGCAAATACTGAGCCCCACCACAAGGGTTAGCCCTACCATAGATTACCCAACAAAAATACTCTGGAGCCGCAACTGCCGACCCGTATTGCGCATGCGCAGATCTAAGATCCAGTAGAAATGATAAAAAAGTAAAAGTCTGCTGCTTATTGTTCTACTAGGCCAAAATAGAGTCAAAGAGTATATGAGAGTGAGAGTGTGTTAATTAATATATTTGGCAGTTTGGAGTAAGTCTGTAGATTTGTTTGTGTGTGTGTGTTTCATGTATAGGCCTCTCACGATAATTCATTTTGTTGGATACATTTTCCCGGAAATTATTGCGATAAACGATAATATTGTCGGCACCGTTGTATGACCATTTTACCACTGACATAATGATAATATATAATAATAATTCAAGTACATCCTTTCAAACTGCTAGTCACATCCTCATGTAAATGGCAATTTATCGAGGTCAGAAAAGTTATCGAGTTCATTTTTATTTATCGTATGATAAGTCAATTAATTGCTTATCGCGACAGGCACACAATAAAACAGTGGAAACAAACATGTTTGACTTTCATTAGTGAATGAAACTGTGTGCCCTTTATAGTCTGTGTCCATTATTGTGTATTTGTATATATTGTATATATATCCTATATATATGCTAAGGTCCCGCTGCTGACACGATAGCAGTCATTTTGTGCGCATATGTGTAATTAAACCGAATGAAACCCATGATATCAAAATCTCACTCCAGCCAGGTACCCAAAGTTGGCAACCCTGCCTATTTTCAGCTCTGCACTGATTTCTATTCTATTTTTTAGTAACAAGGAAGTGTTCAATTCCTCCAGGAGCACCACTTAAACATGTGGTTTGTGGAATCATACTGTAGTCTTTCATATTGTTTCCCTGCCAATATTTACTTTAATACAAAGGCCATTGTGAAAGTGTTGTGCTCCGTGTAATTCAATCCTATCTCTAATGCTCTGCTTTTATTGGCTACAATACAAATACTCATTTGAGTTCATTAATCAAATCAAATAGCATTACAATAATCCTGCATGGGGATCATGATGCCAAAGCTGCTCATGCTTAAATTCCCCCCAGATATAGTAATATAATTAAAAAGTATGACACATTATTGTCCTTTCACTTTTTAAACAAGTGTTGTGTTCAATGGTAGGAGGAGATTTGGCTGTTCGCCCATCAGATAGTGTATTTGCGTCATTAAAACGAATGTGACCGGGCAGAAGAATGTCACACAGCAAAGAACCAGTTTATCTTTCAGATAAAGCTGAATGAAAAACTCGAGAGGACGCAATCACGTTGTGAGCGATGACAGAGAACAAACTACAGCAGATGGTGAGTTTATTTTCAAAAGAAATTCTCAACCGAAGTAAAGGCTAATGACCCCTGACGGCCCAAAAGCTCAGATACAACCTACGTGTTTATCTTAATCAGGAAGTAGTGATTTACTGCAGGTTGTACACGGTTGTACACACGTGGTGGCAGAGGGTGGATGGTAAATCAGGAATTGCATCTGACTTGTTTATTTGTCTACGTCAGTGGCGTCGCCTGGCCTGGGCATCCGGGGCTTTAGCCCCGAATGTTTTTTCTGTAGCCCCGGACAATTCTCCCTCAATAATATAATACATTAACCGTGCTTTACGTGAACCTCATCATGACACAAGAGAGGACGGCAACACTGTAATTTCCCGTGTTCAGTGAATGCAACAGAGGCATGACACCAGACCAATCAGAGAGTTGCATGGAAATAAACGTGTGCTTGTGTCATTCAAGCTCGGCTCTGTGTGTGTGTGGCAATAGCGCATTTAGTGTGATAGAGAGAGAGAGAGGGACCGCTGCCAGCAGGGACCTGTTGTTAGCATCTGGTTAGCTAGCTGCACTAACGGACATAAGGAGCTGTTTGTTCCACAACAAGCTGGAGGAGAGTCCTCTCCTCTCAGACTGAGAGACTCAGGTGAGCTAAAGGACTCTCTGAGTGTTTAGATACTTAACTTTAGTCTAAGTTATCTCAGTGGGTCTCAAACTGTTTGGTCACAAATTATTCAAAAGATTATTTCCGGCACACCTTCATATGATCATTATAGTTATAAAAAAAACAAGAGAATAAAGGAAAAACAGTTATGAAATACTATATGGCAGTAAAACAAGAATAGAGTTTAAAAGGGGAGTGATTAGTAAAATATCCATAAAGAAAAAGTACATCTGTTTACAGTTCTGTTTCATATGGGTGCTGAGAGAGGTATCCATAGATCTCTTCATTTTGCTCTCAAAGTGCACCAGATTGATGCTTTTAACTTCAATATTTAAAAAAAAATCTTCCCGGGGGAGCATCCCCCCGGACCCCCCTAGAGGAGGTGAGGTCTGCCCCCCACTCATAAAAAATACCACTTTACCCCTGCCTATATGCCGTGAGCTGATTATCGAGCCTTTATTGTAACAGTCGCGGGTGTACTGTGTGTGTGCGTGTGGGGAGTGTTGCAGTAAAAAATGCCACTAGTGCCGCCGCCACTGTGGGCTAAGCCCCGAATGTTTTCAGGCCCAGGCGACGCCCCTGGTCTACGTCTTAAAATATTCAGTGATATTTTTCTTTTGTTTTCAACAATACTGTTGGACAGAATTCATTAACCTGTTGCGTCAGCATTTTTGGTCAAAATTCAAAAATTCTTAACCAATGTATACACTGAATGTGTAATATATCTTAAAAAACACAGCATTAGTTACACTCAGTCAGAAAAACAGAAAATAATGTATTTAAACTAACTAAAATTCAATACAAAAAACTAATCAAAGAGAAAATGCATTACTTTGAATTAAATACCAAAGTAAAATATACAATTACTCAAAAGAAATATTAAAATATAATAATAAAACAAAGAGTTAAAGCACATATGAACACATAAAAAAGCATTCAGTAACTTTAAAGTAATGCTATCTTTAAACTGAGTCATTAAATGTTTTGTCTGCAGTTAAATGTCTACAGAAAGTGCTCTAATATAAATTCTGGTGCCGGTCCAAGAGTAAGTAATACAAATGTAAAATCAATTCTGCAATGTAAAGGAAGCCAACTCCCATTATTTCCATTAAAAGCTGGCAGCTGAAGTGTGAACCAGCATTAAAAGATACAATCCTGCAGACGTTTGGCATGCAGTCTTCCTGTTTTTACCTGAATGCATCTAAAGGCGTGCGGTTAATATGAAACGTCTTCTGTAATTGGATCTTGCTGCGCCTTGTTAATGTGTGTTTACGTGACGAAATCCTGCAGCAAGGACATAAAGGTTGTCGCAATTTATTTTTAGCAAGAGGGCCAAAGCTCAAAGTACAGCAGAGGAAAGACTTTTATCGAGTCGTACCAATTGTTTTTCAAAAAAGGGTCACTCTACATGCAACCTTTTAAATGTACTACAAGGAGGGAAGCTGGTTTGTTTTATGCATGGATCCCTGACCTGTATTCGGGTGGCAAAGAGAAACAGGTAATCACATCTAAGCTTTAACAACAGAGCAAATCTCTCAAAATGTAGAAGCTTAAAACAGCATTTAAAGACATGTTTGCATGTCAAATTCCCTTTTTAGGATTATTGATTTCCAAATTATTTATAGCTAGAGGGATAATAGGGATTATCTTTTGGCTAAGGGACTAACATGAGCATACAGTGGCAGCTCTAGAAAACTGTCATTAAAACATTTGGATAATGTCTGAAAGGAATAAGAAACATTTCTAAAAGTGATACGACATTGATTGAAATGACAGATGAAGTCACCTGATGTGTGGAATATCTGTAGTTTAAAGGTCACCTATTATGCAAAATCCACTTGTTCAGGTCTTTTATACATCAACATGGTCCCCTCTGTGCAAAGAGATTCTGAAAGTTTCAGGAAAAAAGATTCACTCTCTTTTTGTCCTGATCATTCTTTATAAAAGCCTGTCAGAGCTGATCAGATTTTGGCCACTTTATGATGTCATACATACAGTTTGTTTGGCTTGTGTAACCATTAGCCAATCACCAACCAAGGTAACCCCCCCCCCCCCCCCCCAGAGTTGTACGGGGCGTGGTTTGCAATTCGCCCAGCCAATCAGAACTGGGGCACTTTTTTCCCCCAGGAAAGTACCATCTCTCAGCAGGCACTAAAAATGGGGGTAAAAGTTCCCGAGATTAAGTGCTCTTTTTGGTGTGAACGCGACATAAGGGGTACTAACGGAACTAAACGCGAAAAGTACGGTGAAAAGTACTCCGGTGTGAACGCGGCTAATGTGTTCTTTTTAACCAAATATCTCTCAGAGGGGCGTGGGGAGTGGCTCCTTATTTTCATCTAAAGTAACAGACAGAGAATCAGCACTTTTGAAACAGGGCTGAAACAGAGGGGATTATGGGATGCTGCAATGACCTGTTTGGTATTTCGAGCCAAACACTTCAGAGACAGGTTTTGTATATATCTGAGACCTATTATATATTGATGAAAAACGGTATAATAGGGGACCTTTAAGTGGCAGATTAGTTTAGACTTTAGCTCAAAGCAAACTTTATCTGCAGCAGTGTGTGCATGTTCCTGCTGTTATTCTGCTGACTTGCAGACAAAAGTTGAGTATTTTTACATTCGGCTAGTTCTATACTTCATCTTCCTCACACTGAACTCCACCTCCGTGTGCTGTGCCTCCCTTTCAGGTGTTTTGTTGGTGCGGACATGGAGCTGTGTGCTGAGCAAGTTGCAGCGTCTGCAGCCAGCAGGAGCTCCGAGAGGCTCAGCATGCGCACATTCAGCCTCCAACCCCCCCCCGCATCGTGAGGACACGCACGCACACACGCACGCACGCACGCACACACACACACACACACAGCTGACCTCACCTCTGCACTGAAGACTCACTTATAATGCTGTCAGGCTCAGATTGCTGATAAGATAAGGAAGACTTTGTTTTTGTCTTGTGGAAAATTATTGTGCAACAGTTGCAGAAAATAAAAAGTAAGAAAAAGGTGAAAATATAACATATCATATATCAATAAGGTGCAAAGGCAACATGTATAACTTATTTAGTTTATAAAATCTAATCCCCAGTAATCACATTTAACCTTTGAATGACTTTAATCCATTGTCAATGCACTTATTTTCAAATATAAAAAAAAAAAAACCTGCAGTTGATCCCAAGGTAATTTGTTCAGGAGCATTTGCTTTACTCTTTATTTACTACTGTACCCTGTTCTGTGCATTGTGAATTGACACTACACCACTGAAGAAAGGAGGAAAATATACTTATAACAGTTTCATATGTAGCCTTTGTTGTTCTGGAATTACCCGCTTATTTCGTTTTGTTAAACATTAGATGAATATTGTTTATACCTGAGATATTATCTTTGATTATTTCAGTGACAGAAGGAGCAGCATGGAGGACTTTGCGGGATTTGTTTACCTGCCCATAAAACGGCACCAAGAGATCATGAACTTAACGTTCAGTCTGCAGCCTGCAGTGGAGAAGTAAGAGCTCTAATATACATGTGATTAGAGAAGAAAAAACATTGCTTAGCTTAGCAAGTAACAAATATATTACATGTATAATAAATTCATGTTTGTAAGTGTGTTTTTATTGCAGAGCAGATATCACGTACTGACCTTTAAATGTAATTTCAGAGCTGTGTGTGTGAGGACCCGCAGTAAGGACAAGAATCCTTGTTTCTAGAGTCTCTCAATCTCACAGTAAGTTCACTTTTTATTTCTCATGCTACACCATGATGCTGTTATTGATTGGTGTATAAATAATGAAATATATTCCAAAGGTGATGATGCTGTCAGGATGAAGGAATCCTTGAAGTTGAGCCACTGAGACTCTTTATTCCAGTTAAAGCGACTTGCAGCCGACACAAAAATCCAAACTGCGATTTTTGCACTGAAATTGTTGTCATGTCTGAATCTTTGCACATATTATTTTAGTGTTTATGTATAATCTTATTTGTGTATGTTGCCGATCATGACGCTAACACAAGGATAAAGTGGTTAGTTGATATTGGTAAATGTCATAGAACAGTAGGTTCATCCAGTAATGTCTCGTTTATCTTCCTGTGTGGAATTATATAAATGATGTCTTTGATCGTAAAGAAAAAGATAATACTGGTGAAATTAGTTCTATATTTTAGGCTAAAAAGCTTTTATGTTACTGGCAAGGGAACACTTCAAGTCGTGCACAGTAGACACATTGGACATTTAGAAAATACAAATGATAAAATAATTAAATTGCAGATCATTAAAATAAACAGTCAGAACATGATCCAGGCAGCTGTTATACTTCACAGCAAAATATCAGCAAAAAGTCATTGGGAAATAAATAAACACTATTAAACCAGTTTATTTTTCCAGACCACATTTTCAAATTGTACTTAACTGTCATGTTGTTGATCTGCAATTAGTTTTATATAAAATATTGGTGAAATGCAACGACCCTAAAGTACACCGTTACACTGAGAAATTAAATAATTATTTTTGTACAGAACAAAACAATCCCTCATTAATTTAAATAAATATATGTTAAGATCAAATAAATAGCTGCATTTTACAGCCTTTGTCATTTCAAATTCATTTGTATTTTGCCTTTTTAATCTGATCACCAAACAGATACCATTTAATACATAAACATACGTTATTAGTTTATTTTGTATACCTGTATACTGTTTGGGTTTATGAGTTGAGCAATAATCTGACATAACAAGAAAAACAGCAATACAGAACATTGGGTTTATATATTAGGGCAAATCGGTGAATATTAAATAATACATTTTGAAGGCTTTGGTGAGAAATACAGAAACTACAAATCCTGGAAAACCTGGAAAACATGTGATTTTTTTTTGTCCTGGAAAAGTTCCGTTAAATGAAAATATTTACCAAATAGTTCCTGAATAAGCTGCATAATGTACCATTTATACAACCCTGTATTTTGGTATGAATGTTGTATTGGTGGTGGTCCCTGTGGGATTGAAACTGTAACTGTGCATCACAAGGTTATGTTTTTAGTGCCTTCTTCTTTGTATTTCACAATGTTTCTACAATAAAGTTGTAAATATAATTTGAATCATGATGTCTTTGTTTGTGTGAAACTATGTGTTTTATTGCAAAATAATTTTCTGGCATTTACAAAAACTATTATCACCTTTAAATGTGATGAGGTGATTATGTGCAATTCAGAGAAAAATATCGAATTGTTTTATTTCATTAGCAGATTCAAATTAATAAAACAAAATATGATCAATAAATAAATAATAATATATTTGTATAAATTAATATTCATTTTTATGAATCAACATGAGCTATCCAGCAGTAATAAAGTTAATAAAAGTAGCTTAACATACATGCATCAATACATATGATAAAATATGTATTATTATGCATGGTTTTGGTACTTAAAGTGTGTTTTCATGTTTATAATGTAATGACTTGTCTAAAAAGTAAATGCAGGACTGGTTCTTATTATACATCCATGGGTAACACAGGCTAGGTGCTAATGCTAATGCTGTAACCGCACATTAAAAACCGTAGAAGAAGAAAAAGCATCCTCCGTGCTTTAAGTGAATCCATCTTTTTATACCGGTAAGTACGGTTCAGAAAGCTAGCCAGAGTTCAACTAAAGTTTATTTTTCCTTTCTCTTTATCTATGTGTGTGTATCGTGATAACTTAACTTGCATTTGTTTGTGGAAAGAGTTCGTAACCTGTTAGCTGTCTCTCTCTCTGTAATTTATGCCCTGACAGGAACGTCTGACAACACAGAGCCGGATAAAGTTGGTTACGCCCAAATATTTAATTCTACGTTTTAAATATTAGTTAGAAGTAGACAACACAGAATCATTTAAAAACAATTTAAAGAAAATGGCAATTGTTGATAAAGAAATAGTTTAGTTTGATATGTTTTTGAAGTTATGGTTTCACTGTTAGGCTCTGTTTCCCGCCTTGTAAGCTTACATGACAAGAGCAACATAATGTGTTTTTAAATCTGTTTTTCTTATATACTTTTCTTTTTAATGAGCCATAAGGGTTTGTTTATCCTTTTTTATTTGAATTTCTTCCAAAAAAAATGGTTATCATTACAGAAAACATTGTAATCCCCACTCAAACAAGCAGAACAGTAATATATAATGTACATGCATCTTGTTTATTTCTCAGATTTCTACATTAAACATCACATCTACTGCACTGGTACACACTTTACCTGGATTCACATACCTGCAGTTTATATTGAACCTTTTTATCCTGTCAAAATTCACCTAATTACATTAGGTATCATTATTTTATTCTTGTATATAAACGTCTGCACTATTTTTTGTGTCTGATCATTACATTGTTGTTGCATGAGAGAACAAATAATTACGTTTCCACTGACTTTGTTTTAAGAATTCGATAAATAAATACTTTTAAAACATTTACTAGCCTAAATAAGTCAGTTTAGATCAGACCAGTTCTTTAAATATGTCCTGAAGTTGGTACTTGCCTGATAGATGTTTAATGTGTTGCAGGTTGCAGTACCGCTGTCCTCCAGCAGGAGGCAGAACAACCTCACACACCTGATGTTTGTCTCCTCTCTCCGGTGAGTAAACTTAATGTATTCTTTGTCTTTAAAACTACCTGCCTTTCCTCCTTACTGTTATACATGACACTACCATACGGATAATTACAATTGTTTGTATTTGGTTTCATTTGCGCTCTATATATTTAGACCTTTTTTTACAACTTCATATTGCAGACGCTGATCAACATTTCCCCCCTGATAAATAATGTTTTATTTTGTTGATTTACTTTTGGTTATCCATAGAGCCACCTCAAATGACTCATGAATGAACATTAGCAATATTCAACAATTATGATATGACACTTGCCACTTAAAAGCATTTCTCACCAGAAGAAGTAGAACTGCAAAGCGATAGGGAGAAGTGTGGTTTCAAACTAAAAGTACCAAAAGAAGTAATGGAAACAACATTTTTTTGAAAAGATCATTGAAAATGGTGCAATAGTTTACCAAAATGTACCAAAGAATCATCTGAGAGCAACAATTGCCACACAATTTGGTTTCTAAAATAAATGAACCTTTGGTAAAAAGGTAGGTGTTATAAGGGATATGTTTTCATGTATACTTGCTTAAAGGTAGGGTAGGTAAGTTTGAGAAACCGGCTCGAGATCGCTAGAATTTGAAAATACACAACCGGAGAAAATCTGCCACTTCCTTATAGAGCCCCTCCTCCAACACACACGAACGCACACATGACCAATGAGGGCACGAGATAAGTTTGTGCACAGATGGAAGGCTGACAGGCAGGTAGGCCATCCAGTTATGTTAGCCGGGCCGGCTAAAATGATTGGTCGTGCTTTTTACAGTACTACGGCTTCCACAGATGACATTTTTTTATGGATTTTTTGTCAAAGCACTTAAGATATTCATTGCTATCGGGATGTTAAGAGCATTCCATGGAATATAACAAAAAGTGTATCTCGAGCCGGTTTCTCAAATGTATGTTTTGCTGTCACTGTGCACTTTTGACAGAGAGAACATAATATTAAAAAAAAACGTTTGCACATGCACGCTCCACAGAGGTCAAAGGTCACTAGTCAAATATTTTTTTACTTGTCACCTACAAAAGAAGGCTGTGCGCTTATCGCACATTTACATTTTTGGACATAATGGGATCGTTAAAATAATGTGTGCCTTTGCTGATAATGCTTGATTGAGCCACATTACATTTTCTTTTTTCTTTTTAATATTTTATTTATGCTCTTATCTTTAACCTTGGTTTTGATGTTCAACATACATAAAGGTTTGCATACCTATCCTCTCTTATCTATAATGAAAGGAGCTTCATAGGATTTTTAATTAAAAAAATGTAGACTTAGAAAACAACATTGTTTTTCAATATTCACAATATACAAATAGGTCGAGGTGTTGACAAAGAAACAGAAAACAACACAATACACAAAAGGCATAAGATATAAAATATTTAATAATCAAATAAAATAACTTAATCAAAGGGCCATGGCTGTTAATGTGAGTCATAGTTTCCTATCATACAGAACCGTTTTGTTTCATTCTTATTTTTCAAGTGCCAGCGCGATGACAAACGGGATTTAGGGCGCAACCTCGCGATACTTCCCACCTCTCTCTCCCCCTCTCGTTCGCTCGGCGGGATGATGGGAGTCCGGCCGGTAAGCCCGCTGAAACGCAGCTCAACACCCTCTGAGGGCAAAACTTCCACTTTTTCCTCCTCAATGAAATTCCCCAAAAAACAAGAAAAATAAATGAAAGGCAACAGCTGGACACGAGAAGGGGACTTTTATTTTGGAGGCGAGTTTTCTTCTTGTTAATTATCACACCTGAGAAGAAATTAAAAAAGAAATCCCTGAGGTGAAGGCTTTTAAAAAGAGGGGGATAAAGAAAGCTGGAGCAGCTCCCGGAGGATAACAGCGGCTAAAGTTGTGGAGATGCCGGAGGAGGAAGCGGAGCAGGCGGAGTGATCAGTCCGGTGCGCACCCTCCTCTCCCCAGCTCCACGGAGCGCCACAGTCCGCTAACCTGCCACTGGTGGAGGGACTCTCCAACTCCTCAGGACCCTCATCATCACTCTTGGATGTAAAACAACAAATCTTCATCTTATTCTTCATCCAAGAGATTTTTATCCAAACACTTTTTTTTCAAATTTTCTGGCTCCGTGCGGAGTTTTTGGCTCATGGATCCGCCGCTGTGCGCCTCCTCCCCGGATGGGATCTGGCAACAGTGAGCGGGGCGCGGCGGAGCAGTGATGGAGTGAAAACGAGATTTAAAAAAAACGCACGAACCCGCAGTTTTTAACGCAGGAGTTTCACATGTGAGTACATGCGTTTTATTTGTTATATAGCTGCTTTAGGGTTTAGGGTGTTATGTGGGGTGAACTCTGACCTTTTTTAAGAAGCAGTTGTGTGGAAAACACCTGCGACACTCCGCAAAAATCACTAATGTCAACGAGAAGTTTAAGTTTTATCCTTCAAAAAGATACACATAGGGGAGCCTTTATCCGTTTGTCACCAAATGTTGGCTTGTTTATAGTCTAAATGGGGATACAAGTAGATTTAAAATGTCTCAATCTCGGATTTCTGCACATATAATGATAGAAATGGTTCATTTTCACCAGAAAACTCCACACACCACACTTTAAAGCACATTTCTCTCTTCTTCCTGTCCCTGTTTTGAGCCACTTTTGCCCTCCAGAGACCCAGTTACCTTTTGTATCCATGCAACCTTTTATGTGCAGTGCTGAGCCGAGCCATGCCACCTCTTTCCATTAATTAACCCGGACTGTTTGTGTAAGAGGAGATGCGTTTGGGGCTGTAGTTGCTGCAGGTTGTTATGTTACTGCAATATTCCTGTAATATTTCCTCAAGTGCGTCAGTGGTAGTCCTTGTAGTTTTATAACATTTACTTGTTTGACAGTATTGGATTGCTTTGTAATATTCCTCTGGTGGCTTTGCACACTTAATGCATTAGTATTATTTGTTTCTCTATTGCAAAGTCGCATCCTCCTATCAGCGTGTTTGTGTTTTTTATTATGCAAACGTTCAAGTGACCTTAGTATCATGACCCTCTATTATGTCTACTTCCTGTCACTATAATATTTGTAGGCCATTGAGGAACTATCAGCTTTGGGTTTTATAGTGGGTTTCCGATTGCATTAATCTCTTAAAATATTTCTGTTCTGTTAATTTTTGGCACTTGACAGTGTTTTTTTTGTGAGAGTTGTGGGGAATATCTCTTAAAATTCAATTAAAGACTAAATACTGTATGTGTCATATACTTTGGTTTGTATGATGCACTGTGTTGCTCCGCTTGGATTTTCTGCATCAGAGGAGGCTTGTGATGTTAACATTTAGCTAAAAGAGACTGTTGGTGTGGAATGATCTTAATGTCTGCTGATTTCTTCACAATGCAATACTTACATTTCATTATTCCTTTTGTGAAGGGTTTGAGAAAAGAAAAATAGAGCATAAACGTAAAAAAACAGACCGAATAACAGTTAGACCTGCATCTTCTCAAACATGTTTGGCTGAAAATACAAAAATAGTTAAAGGCTCCTTTTTAAATCTTATAACCTGATTGCAGGGACTCTCAGGTGAACGTTTATTGAAAAAAGAAATCAAAAAGTGCGGTTGAAAAACTGTAAGTTTGCTCCCGTAATTGAAAAAAGAGAGATACATTTGCTCCATTTCTCAGGCGCCTTTGGTTGCAGCCTGTAAGAGGGGAGATCAGGGAGTGGGTAGGAGGCAAGGTAGGACACAAGGAAAAAAGGAACGGAGGACATGAGGATGAATGGCAATAGAGGGAAGGAAGAAAGGATGTGGTAGATCAGAGACGATGCTTCTTCCTGTGCAGCATCCATGACCCTCATTTCTTTGAATAAATGGCTTGTTTTCCTCCTGTTTAGAAGGTTTTTGTCAAATAAGAGACGTAAATGTGTTGAAAGATTGACACAACAAAGACGCAAAGCTCACTGTAACATATCCGACTCACCTTCAATTTGAAACAACTCCGCAGGAGGTGAGCAGCGCTGCATATGCTTTGATGTATTGGGAATGAAAGGCGGTGAATGTTTAAACAGCCAATATGAAGAATCTGCTGTCACTCAAAGATTTGTATATCATTTATTACAAACTTTAGTAATGCGCCAGTGAATCCGGGAATGTTTAAAGATTCCTTAATTTAGCAAGATTTTAAGACAAATTGATGTGCATGATTGCATATCCGTGGGTGAAACATTTTAGCACAGTATGCATATAAATCATTTGGATTTGAGCTGGTAAACCGGTTTTCCCCCCCAAAATGAGAGGGAAGTGAGTTTGGACTTTTGACTACTGCATTCATATTTAAGGTATTTGGGTTTACAATCAAATCATTGCGTTAAAAGGCATTGTGTTAAAAGGCATTGAGTTTCCCCCACCAAAAAAAAGGACATTAAGGTGGTCTTTGCAAACAACATATTGCGTCAATATTTACGTTAATTCATAGGTGGTGACCTCTAGTGGCTGTAGTAATTAAAACGGGAAAAAAGAGGAAGCCCTGCAGGAACCCAAAAGTCAACGTTCACTTTCTAACAAACATTACTTGCATACGCAGCAAGCTTACTTATTGTAGTCTAAACTATGATTGTTTACTAAACTTAACCAAGTTATTAAGATTCAATTAAAAACATAGACAACTTTTTCCCAACATTCTCCCGCCGCTGTTACTGTCCAACCAGTTTTTTGTAACCAAACAACCTTTTCTGTCGCTTAGTAAAACATGTTGCCTAGTCTGAAGAGCTTTCATGGAAGGAGACTCCAAATTAATGCAGCATTGTGTTACTACAGCAAACGAGTAGGACACACTTTTTCTCTAGAATATTTCAATGGAAATTCAGCATTTTTCAGTTGGGAAGTATGGCACATAGAGCCACTGTGACCTGCGTTTCACTGTGACTTCAGCAGCTGAACATCTTATTCCTCCAGCCTCCTGCAGCGTTATTAAGCTGTGTGTCAGTGTGAGTTGGTACACTCTTTGATTAAAGGTGCAACACATTTTTTAACAGTGTGT